CACTGTCTTATTATCAGTTAAAGCAAAACTTGGACATAATATGCTTATCCACAATATGTGGATACAGCGAGCAGCAAGATTAGTTTAGCATAAAGATAGGAAGCACAGGGCTCGTTCCAAATGTAACGAAATACACAGCCTAATACACTAATTGATTGTAGCAAGAGTTCAGAGCCAAGAAATAGTCCAGCACACTATCCTTTGCAAAACAGGGTGCTTCAATATTTGTACAGAAGAAACACAAAAGATATAATATGTTATTGAGTGAGTTTTAGGTGTGCTTGTAGGCAGATTATGGGGCCAGTATACTCCCTCAAAACTGCTTGCCAGACAGTCGAATTGCTTCAGAGACCCCTTTCCCCTTCACCTTTCCGACATTAGATTAGTGATTTTTTAAAAACCACTGAGCCAACATCCACAACCTCTTCATGTCATGGGTTTGAACTTCTCTCTCAACTCACTTGTTTTTACTCAGGTATTTCTGTCACGTTTCAAATGAGCAACTGAGTTCAACACCATGAATGTCTTCCAGGAGAGACGGTCTGAATATTTAAACAATCACGTCTCCAGCCTCTTTCTATGATGACCAGCTTTTCACCCCATGGAAAACTTTTAACATCAGATTTCCAACATGGTCGGACAAGACGTCAGACAAACTAGTTCTGCTCAGTCGGTTAATCTTCTCATCTAACTCTCCACCAGAAAAAGAGTAAATGTATTCTGTAAATGATAATCCATTTTGAGACAAACCATTATGGCATTAATGTGAGCTCCTCTGGGGTGTGGGGTTGGGGTAAGATCAAAAAGGCCAAAAAAGCAAATTGTTGTACTGATGACAGTGGCTAACACAGTTATACAATTATAAAATAATATAAGACATTTTTTTCTTCAATGACCTAATATGACCTTGTACTCCTATAAGTCAAGTTAAAGCTGCTGTGAACGTATTCAAAATATATTTATGTGGTTGTATAAAAAGAAAAATCTGCTCCACAAATTTCTTCCTAACAGACAAATATAGTGTGAGAAACAGAGAGAACATGACAAAGAAAGAGAAAGATAGAGGGGTGGAGATTGAGAAGCATGGAGGGGAGGACAAGCATCTCTCATCAGTGTAAAGAGGATAATTGGGGGCTGACCCTCTGACGTCCATCATCCTCTGCTGAATAGCAGGGTGACAGTGACTAACACTGTTCCTGTGCACTGGGAGCAGCTGCATCACGTGCACACACAAGCTCCAATGTACACTGCAGTTCACACTCCAACCTCAAAAACAAACACACACCCACTCACACTCTCTCTCTCACACACACACACACACACACACGCAAATTCTCATACACACATCAAAACCTGTAACCTTGTATACAAAGTCTTATAGTACCCACTCACTGGAATCATCACTCACTAATGTGTGTAATTAGGGCTCTTTGATCAGGCTGAATAAGTACTCAATAAGTACACTGAGCAGTAATAAAAGAGGTTTTCAAGCTGTTTGTTGTGTGTGTGGTGGGTGAATGAGTGGGTTCATGCATGCATTTACTGATGTGTTTTTTCTTTCCTGCTACATGCCGCACAGAGCAGAAAGTTAACAGTCAGAGCATGTAAAATAACAGGTTTCTCTTTAATCAAAGTTAATATAAAGTGACTGGTAAATGTGAGTTCCGTAATATTGAGGGATTATCTGTATGTTTGAGGTTGAAACACTAAAATATATAGTGCTGCAATCAGCTGCTTAAAAGGAACATCAACATGAGACACATTTAAGCTCAAAACAAATGAAACCACAGAGCCACCAGGTATCGCAATGCCACATGCCTTTCTGGGCCTTTTCTTCCTTGGTGACTGATCAAACAAGGAGTGGATATTAGGTCAGGGGAAAATTTCTGTATGTACACTTTGGGTGTTGGCATCAAACAAAAAGCTTGTCTGTGCATTCACCGTTTCACACCAGTGTTTGAGAATCATCCATCAGGCAATGTAGCCGAAAGATAAAGGGTTTCTATAATGGCATGACCAAATATTCTCAAATGGAAAACCTACTTGACTATCATCAACATTCCACCTACATAAACTCAAAAGCTCGACCCCTCTCAGTATTGACTTTTTCCTTTTCACAGAGACACTGTGGCCAGCACTAATCGAGGAAAAGTACCGGCTGCTCAGTGAATCTCTAAAATGATCCACATGACAGTGTGCATTAATTTCCATATGGATATTTCTGAGGAGGCATCAGTTGTGGATCAGAAACCCTATAATCACTGGAACTGTTTGGATTTACAATCACATTGCACCAAGTGCAGTGACTTAAGTCATCCTGATGTGCACCAAACGCTTTGGGATTGAACTCATTAACGCTCTAAGATTTACACTCTTTAAGATTTATCTGGTATATACTGAATTTGAACACTCAGCAACACTCTCTACTGTGCATTATATACTGTATTAAGCACTGTTCATTAAATCATTTATACAAGGTAGTCATATGACAGTGATTACCCTCTGACTTTGAAACATACACTAACAAACACTAATAAATAAAAGTATAAAATTGTCCTCAAGCCAGAAATATGAAAAAATAAAATATATTTTAAAAGCACTACTGGAAATATAACTGATTTGAATAATACCTTAAGATTAGTGAAAACACAAAACAAAACAAAAAAAACATAACCCCCCAAAAAATACTAAGACTAATGTTGGAATTACAAGGCCACAAATATATTAAAGAAGCCTCTGTTAATTCCTCTGGTGTCTGAAGAATTTGCATGATTTCTCATGTCTTTCTGTTCCATCGTACAAAAGTGTTGTATGAGGAACACAATGATGATTTTACTGTTTTTTAAAGCCTGTCCAGTAACTAAGATTTTAAGTAAGCGATGATGTTCAGTGTTAGCTAGGCTAGGGCTAGATGGTTGTTGCTTGAGGAAAGGTAATATAGAGGACGCTAGAGGGAAGGTGTAGATGATCATCATCATCAGCATTAGGATTAATCCTTTTGTACCATGTATATTCACAGCAAATTTCAAGACAATTGTGGTCAGACTTTATATTTCTCTGTGTGGTTTTCAACGTCTCATTGCAAAACACAGTTTAGCACTGACACTGATTCACCATCAATACTGTCACTTCTGTACTCATGATCTTGTGTGCAGTTGTTAAATGAGTTTTATTTTAGGCATGTTCATGTGACACTGCTGAGACTTTTAAGGCGACAGGGTTTGAAATTGCCTCGACTTTCTGCTGACTTTGTCATTGACTGGCAGTCAGGCACAAAATTAACAAATCTCCGTACAGCGTCTCCTACTTTAACATTTAGGCTCAGTTAAATCTGGTGAAATTGGAGGGTAGAACTGACTTTAACAATGTAATTTTCTTATCACAACAGGGAATTTACACTCAGCCCCGTCTCTTCCTGCGTCTGCCTACGTCAGAGTCCCAGCATGCTCATATAACCGTTAGACTGATAATTGGACAGACTAGTGAGGCTATTATTGCTGATGATGCTTCCAGAGCAGGCCCTCAACTCTTTAATCACAAAGGACGGATGAGTAATTTTTGACAGTGGGGTAAGGTAGCCACCTCCAAACACCTTGACGTTCATTATTAGAAGATGACTCACAAATCCCTGAAGCAGAAACAAGTGTTAAGAACCTCTAATGATAAAAAGAGATGCTCATATTATTGATGTTCAGTGGGTTAGTCAGCCGTTCCTGTATGAAGACACAGAAGACTGATTTGGTCATTTAAGAAGTTTTCAAATAGATTCAAAAAGGGAACAAAAAAGAAAAACTTTTAAATGGTTATTTCTTTTTACGTGCAGAAAATGTCTAATTTGACAACAGAGAACTGTAACTGCAGGCAAACTGATGTTTCATCAGGTAGAAGACACAGACTCAGCAGCATCTGCTATTGTGCTGCTGTCTGTTGTCTGTTTAGTTATTTTATCCTAAGTACAGGTCGTATATCGCCTTAAGGGTGCCACTTTCCACATTTCCAAGTGTTTCTTAAGGTATTTGTCACCAAATACACTTCTGCTATGAAGCAGCGAGAGCGTATGCTGAATGATTAATAACACAGTATAATGTAGCTGCAATCATAATGATGTCACATCAGAACAATCCTTAGAGTGTGTCCTGTTATCAGCCATTCATGAACTCACAGTGAGCTTGAAGATTGATTTAAAAAAAGAAAACTACTCATGCTCCCTGAGCTTTCAGCTGCTCATGGCCTTTCAATTGTTCATTAATAAATACAATGAATAATATAATAAAATACAATATGTCCTGTGTTTTACAGATCTGTTACATAGATTAAGTTGTTTATAAATACATAAATTTAAATAAAAAATGTCCTTATCTCTGCTTAAAACTACATTATAGTGAGTTATAGTGTATTATAAACCAATATTTATTATTTAAATACTGCATATAAATGCAAAAAGGCGGGTGGGGGCTGATTAAATAGTGTAACTTTGTACTATCGAGTTTATTGTTTTAACTGTTATCAGAAAAACATTTAGATTTAAGGACAAGCAGGAACTGATGAGATAAGAACAGTGCTGCCTCCATCTGCTGTAGGACAGTAAGTACTGCACTTTCCTACAGGAGCATTTAAACAGACAGAAGCAACCATTTAAATTACACTCCAGCAAGCTCTCACCAACACTTTAATTTCAAAATAAAACATATTATATTTATTTATATTTATTTATTTATATTTATATAAACATCCATGTAACATGCACTCATTTGACGCATGCAGCACTTGATAGGTTTAATTATTGAGTGATGAACATCAGGGATTCATTAGCCACCAGTATGCTTAATTTCTTAATAGAAAATATATGTTTGGTAAGGACTATATGCTCTTTCAAATTTGTACTGTTCAATATGCATTTGTTTTGTCATTTTATTGCTGCTATCTTATTTCTTTATCAAACCAAGCATCCAACACCAAATAAGCATTATTTTGTGCTTTGTTTTATTGAAGAGGACGACAGAGAAGCAATACAAACACCGCTACATGAGGTGTTTTGTTGAAGTGGATGACAGAGATACAATAGAAAGTAGGGACCAGGCTACATTAGGTGTTACTGAAATGTCTCCCTCACTTAGTTCTCACCGTCTCTGATTTCCCTCCGATAGTCTAGATTTGATCTTACTGTCTTACCATCTTACTATTTCCTTTAACCTGTAATACCATTGAGGTGTGCAAGTTTTGCCCAATTACAACACTACAAATACTGTTGTGTGACATGACATGAGTGAATAGGTGGCTATATCGTGGCTCCAGATGTTTACGCCTCTTTCTTGGTCTTCACGGCCAAAGACTTCAAGGCAGTAAAGACGGTATCTGGTGTCTCTGTCTCCTCCAGTTTAGACTTGGCACAAAAGAAAGGTGGGATGTAGTCTATGGGGTTTGATTTGCGCACAACCCAGTTGAAGGTACTGAAATATAAACAAAAATTTACTTTCTAAGACTCATTACTGAGTGACAGTTTTTAATAAGATGATTTCCATAGCTTAAAGAAGCTATTGGTAAGTTTTGCTATTGCTACATAGCCAACATTAGCATTAACAGCTGTTTGCTTATCAGTCACTGCAAGAGCTTCATCCATCATTGCGTTTACAAGACAAGAGGTTATGATTCACCCTCTGAGCAGCACTACCTGTTCAGGGCAGCCCGGACCCTAAAGTGATTCGGTAATGCAAAGTGACGAGACAGTCTGACTGAGCTGGGGCTAGCTGGTTAGCAAGCTAACTTCAATACAAGAAAAGAAATTAATTAATTAATTACTTAGATTAAATAGAATGGTTGCTTTCCACCACTGGAGTAAAGGAATGAAGTTTCATTCTGAACTTTTCTTCTAGACTTCTAGACATCTGTTAATGCTAACATTGGCTTTGTACAAAAACGTACAAATACCTTTAATGCCGCTTTAGGGTATATATCAAAGGTTACGCAAGTCTTAACACATCATGGTTTATAACATTGTTTTGAGTGGTGATGTTGATCACTGCACCATTTCTGCTCTCTTGTGCTTTTTAGTTAGTCCAGGTTCTCACCTGATGGTGATCCATCCAGACTCTGGAGTGTAGCTGGTGTAAGTCATCGGGATGCAGCCGATCTCAGTGAAGACACTTGTGTATGTGCCTGAGGACATGGAGCAGAGGCTCTACAATAAACAGACTTCTCTGGGACCACGTGAAGCACTTGATTAGCTAGCCACCAGGGATCATCTGGGTTGTGTTCAGAGATGGAAGGTGTGTGGAGCCAGTTCAGGTTGGCAAACGCTGATCAAGCTACAGAATACGGTGCAACATGGGTCTTACTGAACACACATAGCTGAAAAAATGTGTACTTTGTATTTGTGTAAATACCAGAGGATGTGTCATGCTTCCATATTTTGTCCCAATCCAAATTCACAGCCTTTAGTAGTGCCCTCATCAGCCCAGTAATATGGAAGGCTGGATTTGTTGTCAGCGACAGTCACAACCTTTCATAGTTCAAGTTTTGGCCTTTCATCAAAACTGCAGCAGCAGACTAACAGGACAGTTCAGTGTAGCAAAGAGCATCATCCCTACACGTTTTGTCAAGATAAAGCCAGGTTTCTTTGTCTCTGGCACAATGTTCCCACTTACCGTTGTGTGGCAGGTCTCCATACCAGGTGTTGACTAGCACACCCATTCCAAAGGAGGAGGAGGAGCCCAGGAATACCTGACCCATCAGTTTAGCATCAGAGGGGACATGCATGGGAATGAAGGAGGTGTCGAGCGCCTTCTTCTTGCAAGACAATTTGCTCCAGTCGATCTCATAATAGACTTTCTAAAAGGATGAAGAAAGAAAATGAATGCTCCCCTTTCACATCATTGTCTGTGTCCCATCTTTGTGGCCTGTTTTATCTTTCAAAATATTAAAAGTTTGAAGGAGTAGTATTTTGCATGCTTTCCACATGTACTGTTTTGTCATTACGAATGTTTTGTCCTTTGTTTTTCTCACAGTAAAAGATCATTTGCTGGACACTAAACAAAACTTTCTGAAAGTATCTGTTAGTGGTTGAGGGAGATTTTATTCATTGGTGACATTGTCAGACAACAGTAAGACGAAAATCACCAGCAGGTGGCAGTATCACTGTGTGGACAGCATGCGTGTAGTGCCAAAATAATTATTATCCATATCGTTTTCATACTTTGGAGGTAAACTGTTAATATTTGGGATGTACATTAGACAAATGCAAATTTGTTTCTTTGTGTTATACCTATGTTGCTTTTATGAGTTTTGAAAATGTTATGTTAGCATGTTAGCCAGACAGCACAGCGCTCATACTTGAAACTTGTAGTAGAAGTGGCCATGATGAAAGTTGGATGTCAGAAAATTACAGTTCTACTGAAGAAATATGACGATAAATTGACCAAACATATGGATGCTGCTTTTCTTTCATATCAATAAAAAGTGAATATTGTTGGATTTTAGATTATCACTAAACACAAAACAAGTAATTTGAATAATAAAATTATGTGGGGTATATTTAATTTCTGCAGAATTTTAAGTAATTAATCAGAAAAATATTCAGCAGATTTATGGATAATAAATATTATCATTAATTGCAGCCCTATCTTGGTGTTGTTTTCTTTGATTTAACCAGAAAATAAGAATCCTGGTTGAAGCTGAGATTAGAGACCGTCATTGGTGGTCAAGGGACACTGACTGTATTGCCAGAAGAGCGATTACATACTAAACAGAGAAAGAGGGAATGCAGGGAAATATAGGAAACAGATTTCTAGTTCACCAATTCATGGGCTACAGTAGCAGTTACAGTCTCACAGCAAAGGTAGAAAAAACATCTGTGACAAAACCCACTAAGTAAGTAAATATCTGGGTTAAAACATATCATATAAAGTATTTTCAGAATCAATTAAATCATGGAAAAATACCTGATTGAAAAGCATCAACTGGTCCACACCAAAGGTCTGATTGCCACTAAACCCATAGTTTCTGACCCGCATCCTCTGTCCAAAAGCATCATAGGTAATTGTTCCTGTCGACATGAAGAGTCCGTTGCCAGCCATCTGAAAAAGAGAGACAGAGTAGAAAGTGAAGAGAAAGATGCTGATCGCTTCACATGGGTCTATCCAAGAGAGATTATAAAGTGAGGAAGGTTTATCTGTAAAACAGGTCAGTGACTCACCACAGTGAGGCCTCCACTCATCTGCAGTGGAGAGACTGTGGAAGAGGAGATCAAAATTATTAAGAAATCAGTTTTGTTAATGCTCTAAAATAACTGAAATTTATCTGCCTAATTTGTATTTGCCGGTAAATACAATTATATGTGCCAAAAGTGTGCCATACATTTCAAATTAGGCTACATCAAATTCCAGCTTTTGATACATGTAAAATAATTCCATTAACACAGTCACAGGCATCAGTATTAAAGTGTCTTTTCAAACTAAATAAACTGATATAAACACGACTAAATATACAAATGATAGTAAAGTATAGATTTTTTTCCTTCTAATTTCAGTTCATTTACAGAAAAAAACAAGCAATCAATCACAAAATTGTGTAAGAGAATTCAAGAGCATGGAAGTGAAACCATCCACGTGCTTTATTAATTTTACAATCAGATTTTTTCTTTTGATGCTCTTATAACATCATGTACAATTTGCATCTCATCTGCAGCAACACTCTAAACTTTCTTCATTTAAAATCTTTGTCTAAATTCACTTAAAATCCAGTTTCACACACACAATACAATGACATCAAAATATTTTTCTAAGGTCACCAGCAGGGTTGTCGATACTCACCGCATGGTTTTGGTGCCTGGGCGACAGCAGCTGCCAACAGCAGGCTGAGGCAGGACAGCACACTGATGAAGTTCATGTTGAGAAGCTGAATGAGGAGAACCCGTGAGTGCTCTGGTTTGAGGGAATGACACACACCTCCATATATACCTGCTCACAGTTGGCCACGCTCACCTCAATGGTTGGCCCCTGCTGCATTTTTTTTTTGACTGCTGCCATGAGTGTAATTAATAATAACTGATTAGATTATAAATTGGGAATAATTAACAACCCTCCTTTGTGAAAGTTGGTGTGATTTATGACCATATCACATTTCTCTTTTTATGTTTGAGCTCATCAGATATTTCAGTTCATGGATTTAAATAGCTCCAATTATGACCACAGGTGTAAATAATCCCACGCGGAACAGAATAAATCCACCTGCTTCTTTCTCAGCCTGCAGGGCTGTGTTTATCTGAAGTACCTCTGAATGTACAGCATATGTCTCCTTATTTTTGTGTTATGTCATCTGGTTCTAAAACAGACATTTGTTCTTTCCTGGTTTCCTTTGTTGTTGATATGAGCTGAAAGCTTAAATCATCGAACTAACAAAGTATTAAATAAGTGAAGTTGAATTGTCCTATTACATTCATTTGGAGTCTTAATGAACAATCTGTGAAGAGTTGTGTGCAAATGTCACAAATGGCCCTGAGTCATAGTCAGGTGCACCATCCTTATCTGCAGGTTAACAAATAGATACAACGGACAGAATCACTACAATGACAACAAGAATAATGTTAATAGCGATAAAGGAAATTATATTACTGATATAATCAGCATCAATTAATATACATATGATGCATCTACATATACATACAAACCATAACTTCATATGGACATGAAATAAACCAGGGTATGTGTATATTATCAATACTTTCCTGTCTCATTGCCTCGATACTTTTATATTTAATAATAATAATAATGATCTAATGATAATAATCAAAAGAGGACAACTGATTTCAATAGTCTTGTTTCTACTTTAGATTTTATTCTTGTGATACAGTTTTTTTTTGTTTGCTTTTTCTTACGTTTGTGTTTTCTCATTTACATTTTTTGTCTCATTTACCATTTGTTCTCTTGTTCACAGGTTTGGTTTTACATTTATAGTTTAATTTGATTGTTTATGGGTTTCATTTCACATTCACAGTTTGTCATTTTTTTCTTTCAAACATCCTGGCCCTAAATTACATTCATAGTTATCAAGCATATCAAGCAGTACAGGAGAAAAACTAAAGCAAAACTTACAGGCTGCATGTCCATAAATGACCTGTGGGACTACTCAGTGGTGGGTCTGAAGACTTTTCCTCTTCTCTTGTACTATTTCCTTTAATCTTTAATACCAAACACTGAGATTGTTGTTCAACAGGGGGCTATATCGTGGCTTAGCTGGTTAAAACAACCTTGGAAATCATGTTAATTTAAATGGCTTTATATCCCATGATATCCATGATTACTGGATCATTTGGGTTCAATTTAGTGGCCCTAACAAGAGCAGTATTAGTGATTATTTTAGTGAGATACTCCAGATGTTTACTCTTCGTTCTTGGTCTTCACAGCCAGAGACTTCAAGGCAGTAAAGACGGTATCTGGTGTCTCTGTCTCCTCCAGTTTAGACTTGGCACAAAAGAAAGGTGGGGTGTAGTCCATGGGGTTTGTGTTGCCCAGGACCCAGTTGAAGGTGCTGAAATATAAACAAATTTTTTTTTATTTTTATGTCAGGCTTCATATTGGGTCATGCATGTATACTGTTGCAGACAGCATGTCAAATACAGTGATCAACCACTTATGTGGATCAAAAATCTTGACACAGAATCATTCCTATACAAATGCTGTAAAAATATATTGATTGTTGTAATCAAGTAGTCAGATTACAATGTTCATTTTGGGTGTTTTCATACATGACAACATATGGAAAATAAAATTAAACAGTTGTATCCTACTACTGCAAGCTGTCATATTTGTACCTTCTTCTTCTATTTTCGACACTGTGGCTCAGCAAGTTATTTGTCCGCCTGTTCCAGCTTTGCTCTGTTTTTGGACGCTTACAGTATGTAATTATCATCTCTGCACACTCGCAGCAGGTGTGTTACGTACGTTACATGAGTGGCGTGTAATGCTTTCACCTTGCATCTGTACAAAAAAAAAAATTCTGTTTCTGCTCTCCTGTGGTTTTTAGTTAGTCCAGGTTCTCACCTGATGGTGATCCATCCAGACTCTGGAGTGTAGCTGGTGTAAGTCATCGGGATGCAGCCGATCTCAGAGAAGACAGTCGTGTATGTGCCTGAAGACATGGAGCAGAGGTTACATGATGTGATTATCTAATGATAAACAGACTGACTGAGCGGCACAGAATCGTCAGAATCCAGCCAAAGGTTATTTTTAATGGAAGTATGCGCTTTACACAAAGAAAAAGTACTGTTCGAAAAAAGCTTCATGAAAACATACATGAAAAGTAAGTTATCCACTAATTACAACATTTTTTTTCACATTTTGTCCCAATCCAAAGCTTTGATCAGAGCCTTGATTAGTGCCCTCATCAGCCCAGTAATATGGAAGGCTGGATTTGTTGTCAGCGACAGTCACAACCTTTCATAGTTCAAGTTTTGGCCTTTCATCAAAACTGCAGCAGCAGACTAACAGGACAGTTCAGTGTAGCAAAGAGCATCATCCCTACACGTTTTGTCAAGATAAAGCCAGGTTTCTTTGTCTCTGGCACAATGTTCCCACTTACCGTTGTGTGGCAGGTCTCCATACCAGGTGTTGACTAGCACACCCATTCCAAAGGAGGAGGAGGAGCCCAGGAATACCTGACCCATCAGTTTAGCATCAGAGGGGACATGCATGGGAATGAAGGAGGTGTCGAGCGCCTTCTTCTTGCAAGACAATTTGCTCCAGTCGATCTCATAATAGACTTTCTAAAAGGATGAAGAAAGAAAATGAATGCTCCCCTTTCACATCATTGTCTGTGTCTTTTAATATGTTGAAAGTGTGAATGAGTAGTATTGCGTTTATATGTTTTCCACATATACTGTGTTCTCATTATGAATGTTTTGCCCTTTGTTTTTATTAGGTAATTTGCTGAACACTGAAGAAAACTTTCTGAAAGTGGTTTAGGGGGTTTTCATTCATTCGTTATCATTTATTTTCAGACTTTATTTTAAAGGACTATTTCTTTTAATTGTTAATGTCATTACTATAGAAAGTAGTAACAGGAAGATCACCAGCAGGTGGCAGTATCACTGTGTGGACAGCATGCATGGAGGGAAAAACGTGTCAGTGGAGAATATTATTATTAATATAAGTATTATTTTCATACTTCGGAGGTAAACTAGGGATACTTAGATATACATTGCTGTAATTTGGTTTCATTGTGTTATAGATTAACTGTGTTGCTTTTTATGTCATTTGAATATGTCATGTTAGCATGTTAGCCAGATAGCATGGAACTCATACTTGAAACTTGTAGTAGAAGTAAGGGAGGAGGCCATGATGAAAGTCGGCCCTTAAGAGAGCAAGTGACTGTGACTCATGTTAGAAAATTACTGTTCTGCTGAAGAAATATGATAATAAACTGACCAAACATATCTGACATAGCAGCATTGAGAGAGGATGTTAACTTCATTTGAGCAAGGAAGGACATGTTATTTGTGATATTTTGGTGTAATTCTGAAACAACTGGTTAATTAATCGAGGAAGAAAATAAACTGACAACAATGTTGGTTAATCTGATCATCAGATTCATTGATAACATTATTGTTCATACATATACACAAATATTATTTTCATACTTTGCACAAAATGCCAGATCTGCGTCATTCTGCATACACCTACATGCTGCTTAATGCTTTTAAGTTTGTGTAAACCTACAGAGTGTTAAGGAAAAGTTGTTGAAGGCAATAAAGTGGGATGAGATTCATTTCACTACATCTGATACTCCTCATTGTTAGGAGTAAATCCTGGTTGAAGCTGAGATTAGAGACCGTCATTGGTGGTCAAGGGACACTGACTGTATTGCCAGAAGAGCGATTACATACTAAACAGAGAAAGAGGGAATGCAGGGAAATATAGGGAACAGATTTCTAGTTCACCAATTCATGGGCTACAGTAGCAGTTACAGTCTCACAGCAAAGGTAGAAAAAACATCTGTGACAAAACCCACTAAGTAAGTAAATATCTGGGTTAAAACATATCATATAAAGTATTTTCAGAATTAATTAAATCATGGAAAAATACCTGATTGAAAAGCATCAACTGATCCACACCAAAGGTCTGATTGCCACTAAACCCATAGTTTCTGACCCGCATCCTCTGTCCAAAAGCATCATAGGTAATTGTTCCTGTCGACATGAAGAGTCCGTTGCCAGCCATCTGAAAAAGAGAGACGGAGTAGAAAGTGAAGAGAAAGATGCTGATCGCTTCACATGGGTCTATCCAAGAGAGATTATAAAGTGAGGAAGGTTTATCTGTAAAACAGGTCAGTGACTCACCACAGTGAGGCCTCCACTCATCAGTGCAGGAGAAACTGAAGAAAAGGGAATTTTTAAGAAATTAGCTCTGTTAGTGATCTAAAACATGTCACGTGCTTTATTAATTTTACAATCAGATTTTTTCTTTTGATGCTCTTATAACGACTTCCTTTTTATTTCTGCATCATGTACAATTTGCATCTCATCTGCAGCAACACTCTAAACTTTCTTCATTTAAAATCTTTGTCTAAATTCACTTAAAATCCAGTTTCACACACACAATACAATGACATCAAAATATTTTTCTAAGGTCACCAGCAGGGTTGTCGATACTCACCGCATGGTTTTGGTGCCTGGGCGACAGCAGCTGCCAACAGCAGGCTGAGGCAGGACAGCACACTGATGAAGTTCATGTTGAGAAGCTGAATGAGGAGAACCCGTGAGTGCTCTGGTTTGAGGGAATGACACACACCTCCATATATACCTGCTCACAGTTGGCCATGCTCACCCCACGTGGTTGGCTTATGAAATGATTAAAAATGTCAAGTCCAGTCATTTTTTATTTGTATAGAGCCAATTCACAACAAACGCTATCTCAAGGCCCTTTCCAAACAGAGCAGGTCTAGACCTTCACAGAGACCCAACAATTCAGAGTAATTGTATATTATCTTAAGATTTCTGAACATTTAATTGATTTGCCTTGCATGTGTCATTCACACTAACTGTAAGATTCAGTGCCTTGCTCAAAAGGACAATTAGCTGTAGATCAAGAATGGATTTGGACATTTGGACTGGACGGCTCCAGTTTTGACTGCAGGTGTAAATAATCCCACGTTGCACAGAAGAATTCCACTGGCTTTTTTCTCAGCCTGCAGGGCTGTGTTTATCTGAAGTACCTCTGAATGTTATAGTGCATGCCTCCTTACTGAAACAGACCTTTTGGTCTTTCCTTGATTGCTTTGTTGTTCAGTTGAATTAAGTTATCAAGTCTTTTTAATATGAGCTGAAAGCTTAGATCATCAGTATTAAGCAAGTGAAGTAGAATTGTTCTATTCCATTCATTTGGTGTGTAAATGAACAATGTGTGTGTGTGTGTGTGTGTGTGGGGGGGGGGGGGGGGTTACAGTTTAATACAGACTCTTCCTGGTAAAACCTTGATTTTTGACACTACCAAATGAAATGTATAATTCACTAGTGAATAATAAAGCTTTGCATAAATAATGGCAGTTTCTGAGAGTGGAGAGAGCCCTTATTTAAAACTCTTGAATATATTTTGTTTAAAAAGTGAATGTACAGACTTTTGGTTGTTTTTGTTTCAAGTAGAACGACCTGCAAAAATATTACAGCATAAAAAAAAAGAAGAAAAAAAAAAGATTAAACCAATTTACACAAATTATCTAAAATATATGCTTTGAAGGAAAAGGTGGTTAAAGATTCAGCATAAAAATCATCAGTGCATTCAACAGCCACATCCGTAAGAAGCACATTAGACAAACCTGAAACTACATTCATTAGCCTACAGTTTATGTTTGGATATTACTTAAATTTCAAACACCTTACATTTATTTATTATTATTTCATAATTGTGAAAATTTGTGGTAAATCTTATTAATGTATAATGTTTAAAACTAAACATGACAGGTAGTAGATCTATAGCTCACCTTTAAACATACAGGCTGATGCCAATATTTAAATTGGGATCAAGTGTTTTAATACTTTGCATTTATCTTGATCTACAGTAATGGATGGGTTTAATTCCCATCAGAGCAAAGTTAAAACTCCATATGAGGTAAAAGGAAAGAGGAAAATGTCTGACAGATAAACCTGCATCACATGATGTTCACAGGTTAGATCTTTTCTAACGGAAACAACAACCACTGAACACTGATAATGATCGTAAAAGCTGTTAGCTCATAGTCAGGTGCTTGGTCTTTATCTAAAGACTGACAGCAGTTTATCAACAACACATAATCTACAGTAGGTTACACATCAGAGGCTCTGAAGAGGTTTGAATTGATGATTTTATTGATCCAACGAAAGAAATATTTTTTTATGGCATGACTTTATGGCAGGGGTATTAAATTAAAATTCAAAGGGGTCCAGTTTGATAAAAATTTACTCAAGAAAAGGTCCAGAACATTGGTCTGATGGGGCCCAACAGGACCAATGTTGTTTTTTCATTTCAAAGAAAATAAGGGCTGTAATAATTGAACACATATGAGAGCTTTTGAAAACTGTGCATCTTAAAATAAAGTGGTTAATTTTGGAAAAATTTAATAAAAAGTGTGTCTTGAGTTTCCGCTTTTAGTCCTTTTTGTTCGCATCTGAACAGTCTCAGCCATTTTTTATAACAAACAATCTCAACACATCTGAACAGGTGAAAAGGAAAACACCTCCTTTTTTCCCCCCTTTCTTTCCCTCTTAAATCCCACTCTTCCTGCACTGGTTAAGTCCGGGTAAAACGGCGTCTGGGTCCGTTCATGGACCTTGGCTTAGTGACTCGGCTCTATGGAAATGGTAAGTCTGCTGGTCTACCACTTTGGTCCATACTTAAATGTCACATTAAAGGATTGCCATGAAATTTGGTTCATATGTTCCCATTTCATTTAGCGCCAGCGTCAAGCTCAAAACTTAAATTTGTTCACTAGTTTCACTAAATACCTGTAAAATGATGGCATTCCCTTCACTCCAATTAGTTTTGCTAATTGAATGCTAATTGATAATTAATATGTTGATAAACTAACGCACTAAACTGTGTGGCAGTGTACAGCCTTTAAGGCTGTACCTGCTATTGAAAGGCCATACACACACCAATTGCCTTGTCAGCACAAAAAGCATTCAGGTCTTACCTGAAACCCAGGTGAGCTCAGCTAGCTTCCTGCCATGTCTCACTCAACTGCGTGGTCTGGTCAACTGCTCTGGTCCATCCCCACTGTGCACTGAGTGATTGGTTTCACTTCATTCAGGTTTACGAGACACCAACAGACCAGACCAAGAAGAGTTCCCTCTCTTTGTTGAAAGTTCCCCCTCTTCTTCTTCCCCTCTTGCATCCCTAGCAAGCCCATTAGGTAAGGCCCATATTCTATGACAAATGAAAACCGGTGACCTGTGTTATATGTTACCAAATGTGGTTGTAGCAGGAACCAATGCCACCATAAAAATTAGAACAATATGTGGTAATCTGATACTGGTTAATATTTCCAAAAACACTAATGGCATGTGAATTCGTACTTGTGGTGTCACATTAAGAGGGACTTCAAACCAGCCTTCAGTATTCAAAATGAAAGTAGAGACCATCATGTGACGGTGATCACATCAGCCACGACACCTGTTAACATGTTGACGTTTCAACCCATGAGTACTCAGTAGTTATCACTACATCATTAGATGACTACTCACTACTTGGACCGAGTCGCACCACACATATCTTCGAACTCAGCCTTTATTTCCATGTGCAGTACACACCTGTACGGTTTCATGACTATACCTTGCACGGCTGTGATGCTATGACAGTGACAAAACATGTACACAGACAGACAGATAAACTCAAATCCCCCTCTGTTTTAGTTTACTACAGTAGGTGAGTCAAGGACCTAATTTTGCTGTTATGACACACACACACACACACACACACACACACACACACACACACACACAAGGTGAAAATAGTACCAGCCCCACTTTTGCGGCTGGTAGTGAGGCAAATATGGAATTCCCATGCCTGTACGGAAAAGCAACAGCTGAGCAAATATTGATTTTGCTGCTAAGAACAAACCACTGGCGCATCACGACAAAAGTTTAAGGTCCTTTGATCAATCTGTGACACTCATAAGCTCATGCATTAAACAGTTTAGGAGAGAAAAAAACTCAAATGCTACATGACATGATGCAAATTATATTTATTTCCCAATATGCATATTAAATTAGCATCTCTTTTCATTTAGATTCCCTTGGCATATCAAGGTGGATGGCAATTATTAAACCAAACATCTTCTGAGCAAGGAATACTTCAAATTTTTCAGTGCAAAACAGCTAAAGCCAAGTTTAGTAAAATAAGACAGACCCCACCCCCAAATTAAAAAAAAAAAAACAAAACAGTTTTTAAAAGCCCGTAGTTAACATGTATAAATAAAAACAAAAAAGCAAATCTGGTGACCATCCATAAAAACAGAATGGATTTTAAGAGAGGAAACCCTTTTTTGTTCAGGTGTTGGTTCCCTTGTTCTGCAGCTAAGCATTAACTTACAAATTTCCACCTCATATACATATATGAATATCAACAATGTGTGTATTATAATATAATCTTGTTACAATTTCTACATTAGGTCCATATTAATTAAGTGTTAATAGTTACATGAGGTGAATTTCTGTCCATTTGGAGTTTCGGTTTACTCAGGGTTTCTGCGTATTATCCATGTCAAAATGACAATTTGTTGCCATTGGTTTTGGAGATTTCTTATCTGTTCAGTCAGAGACTCACTGTCATATACACAATATTGTCTACTACCAACTTCTTTTTAAAACTTTTTTTGTGGAGTTATACGCAGGAACCCTGAGTACTGTGTGTGACCTTGTGCAAACGAAGACGGGCACACACAGGTTTGTTGTGTAGTGTCAGTCGAATGATCACTCTCTTCCCCACAGTCACGGTTTACTGTGAGTGGATCGAAAACTGGTTGAAAAAGGCATCGTCTTTATCTGGCATCATCTCAAAAAAAACAGCTGAAACACAAAATTTCAAGAACGCAGACTCCATGTCATCCACTCACTGAAAATCATCTCATTCATCCCTCATTTCCATTACACATCCTCTCAATCCCCCGTTCAGTTTAGTCTACCTACAGCGCATCAAGCTCACTCTACTGTACTTTGTGTGAATTTTAAACAAACTAAAATAACACTTGGCTGATGGGTCCATCTCTTTTCTTGTCTACACACCTTGTCTCTTTATTTTCTTAAATCCACTTTTCAAAACTTACCACAGTATTCATTAATACGTCTTCCTCTTTCAATATTAATACATCCTTATTCCTGATTCCTGACATTGGTCCAGCCTCTGTTCATTCAACATAAACTCTACTTTGGTGCCTACATGAACATCTGTTCCTCCTATAGCTTCCCTACTTCACATCTACTTTAAACTTAGCTAACCTACTAACTACAGTTCTACTGTCTGTATTTCTTACTTTTCTTTTCAGTGTACTGCTACTATTTCAACAAATCACAGCTTTGCACGTGTGTGCAGTCACACAGGCAATACAAACACACACACACACACACACACACACACACTCGCGCAAACAAGCCCACGCAAGAAATGAATGGACCGCAATGTGTCAAAATGTCTGTGATGGAGTGCAACAGAGCTGTACGTACAGAGACGTACATGCAGATGCAGATGCAGGTGATTTGAATTGGCGAATTGGAAGTTTACAGTTTACATGTTTTGTTGTGTTGGTTGCTAGGGGAGACCTGGTTTTGGCAGGTTTTGGAGTTGGCAGGCAGGTATTCTGGCAACGAATCAGACTGATGCAGAAGTGATGAGAAAAACACTGAGTGGCGTAAACCTTCGAAGACCGTTCTTATTTGGGGCCGCACATAATCATTTTTGACAGTGATGTCAGAATGTCAACAGATGAAGCCAGTGTGAGAGCGAGGAGGAAGCCACTTGATGCAAGGAAGGTTCAACAGTTTAGAGGACGAACTGTAATCCCCTCCAGAAAAAAACAAAAACAGTATTTCAGAGTTTCAGACATTGCAGGAGCTTAGTATGACGTCCACGTCTCTAGCCTTGACTAATTTATGGACCTGTAATTTTGGACCCTTGTTCTTGCTTAAACTCCCTCTACTTCTCAGTGAGGCCCTCTGTCAGCAGTCGGAGACTTCAGAGGTGTTGGAGTCACTCGTGAGTTTCCTCCGTTGCCTCACAGATTTCTCCTCATCCTGCAGAGCAAAACAGAGTTTTTATTTTTAAAAGGCTGAGGAATTTCCAGCTGCCACTGTACTTATGTTACTCAAACAGGAGTAAAAAGTGTGTTTTTTAGGGACTATTTTCAACAGCACATTAATATGTACGTTCAGTGCTTATATCAGGCTTTAGTTACTCTGTACAATACTTGTTAGTAGGATTCATTAGTTGTTGGCCTTTTCATGGGATTTGTGGGCAATAAGAAAACTATGGGATCACCAGACTTATGCTTAAAAGGTTAGGCATGTACAGTATGTGTTTTCATTTGAATGAATAAAGAGGACATATTCTTCGGCAGGTCCTGATTATTTATGTTTTTTTGTTTTTTTTTTGCTTGTTTTGTTATTGTGAGTGCTTACAGTCTGGAAGATTCCATTCTGCCCCCACTCTCCAGGGGAGTGGTCGTCAGGGTCCTCGGCCTCTTCCTCCTCTTCCTCCCCCTCTTCCTCTCTCACTGTGTCCATCCCATCTTCCTCATACTCTGTCAGACAGTCTGACTCCTCTGCTGAGTGGAAAGATTTAGAGGAGATATTACAGTGAAAATTTATAGAGTGACTGGCCCACCAGGTTTCTATAGCATCCATAAAATATCAGGGACATCTGCTACTGTATTTCAACTAGAATTACCGCCTCGTGGTCGTAGGCCTCCACCAACCAGCCACGTTGCAGGAAATATGGTCTCAATCTTCCTTTCCTGAGTTACAGCGTTTCAGCAGAACATAATTATAGTGAAGTTCACCTTTGACCATTTGAATATAAATTGTCATCATATCATCATTTGATCCTATTAGATATTTGTGTTAAATTGTGTCAGTTAAGCCAAAACTGTGTTTTGTGAGGTCACTGTGAATTTGACCTTTGACCACCAAAATCTAATCAGTTCATCCTTTGGTCCAAGTGAATGTTTGCGCCTAATTAGAAGAAATTTCCTTAAGGCGTTACGAGACAGACAGACAACTTGAAAAAATAATGCCTATAGCCCCGGCTGTCATCGGAGCGGAGGCATAATAAAACACACCAGATGAAAACTATGACTCCTCATTTATTACTCTGATTAAATCCAACATGATCTTGAAGGGCATCTGTGCATCAGGTGGAGGAGAGAGCAGTAACAACGGTACGGTACGGTCTGACATCATGAGAAGAAACATTTTAACCACTACAAAAAGAACTGATCTCTCACCATCTGCTGCTACATAGGTCTGGACTGGCTCTATCCTGGAAACAATCTCCGCGAGGTCAGTGAAATCAGCTCCTGGACACGTGCAGGACTGTAAGGCAAGATATTAGTATTATATATGGAGCTATTAAGTTTGATGGTGAACATTTATGTAGTTATACATCGGCCGCATCATTTATGGTGTAAGTCTGTATATGTGCTCTTCTCACGTCAGTTCTCTTGCTGTCATTGTAGTCGGCTGAACGGTGGTCCTTCAGCATGTTCTCGATGATGTCACCTCGGGCCCAGCCAGTAAACACCAACTTGCCATGCTGGAAGCCCACATCCTGAGATACAAGGTAGTTTAAATAGAAACATTAGTGTATTTAAATAGAGTGGGTAGACATGTTTTGAGTAAATACTGTATATACTTATTATATAGTGCACTAGGGCTGGGCAGTATGACTTCAATCAATATCACAACTATTTCAAATTTTTACCTCGATTATGATTAATGAACGAATACTCCGGCGCTTACCTGTCTCTCTTTTTGTGAGCCATGCACTCTTCATATTCGGCAATGTGATTTTGCTCCAAGTGATTAAACAAATTGGTGGTGGTACTTTTGGTTGCTATCCATGTTGCATTCACCACTGTCTGGTAGTTGTGAATAATCACTGACCAATCAGGGGGCGAGGCAGGTGTCTGTGTCAGTTTCCAAAAGTCCAGACTACAGCGCAACCCCTCAGTTTTCTAACTAAATTTGGTCCAGCAGCATTTCCAAAAGTCTCTTATGTAGGTGCTTGAAAACTCTGTGGAGTAGTGGACGGCAGGCGTAAACGTGGCAAAAGTGACGCCTTTTAAAACTAAAAACTATTAGTGTGGATGTAGCCTGATGCTCAGTGTTTACGCTCATGTTATCCATATTACCAAGTCTGTGAGAGGTTCTAAATGTCAGTTTTGATACTTTTTTGTTTAATTGCAGAGCATTATAGTGCACTACATTTACCCTGACTCTTTTTATTGAGTGCCCTAATTGTATCAATGTGTGGAATTTTATGCAGTATGTAGTGCCCTCAATAGATAATGATGATTACAAAGTGTCCTTAATCTCAATTAACTGTTCACTATATATGTGAGGTGTGATTTCACACACAGCAAATGCGCCACTTTCCTAAATAATTAAAATCAGGCAATATTGAGGAGGCCACTCACATAGATCTCGTCAAACTTCCCAAAGTCCATTGTCTTGAAGCGATCGATTGGTGGTCTGATGTACTCGCAGTAGGCACTCTTCTTCACCACCTCTAACTGCCGCACACAAGACACGTATGCAAGCCGAGACTGGATCTCTGCCATGTCTGGCACCTGCAGAAGTGGGCGGAGTGAGAATCACATTTTGGCCACAGGATACCAGAATTGACCAAAATGGACACCATACGAAATATTGCTCAATCTGCTGATTGCACAGCAGAACCATCACTGCTACATGTTGGTCAGAGGCATTAAAGACTCAAAGGTGGCACTCTATACTTTAAGTTGCTGAGTCATCAGGAGTTACAAGTGCATTGTGCTGCCAACCCACTCTGTACCTTTACTTTCTCTGCCCAAGGATTGATCCGTTTCCACAGCAACCACCAGCCAGACAGGCAGTCGCCGTAGTTACAGAGGTCAGTCTCATCTTGGCTTCCAACGTCGATGGCAATGACAGTTCTGGCGCCCATGTTCCTCGCAATGTCCGCTGTTGGACGCGTAACGTATCCACCAACATTCACACACATGCACAGACGTACAAACACAGCACGAAAAAAATCCAGCAGCAGAGATGGTAAGACAATGAGTCCTTGTTTCAGGATAATCTCTGTTTCTTTAAACCTTCATTTAAAAAGGAGCCACAATGTTCAAACAGACTTGCACCACAAAAATATCAGTGTTTTAACTTGTCAGACACATTCCAGAGCATTTATGGCAAATTAGTGACAGAGAGCACTGCAATTTAAAAAAAAAGAAAGATGTATACTTTGCCAACAAGCATAGGGCCTGAAGTCATAAACTTTCTCACTGAACTTGGTAAGTGTTAAAAAGAGCCTTGGGGCATTGAACATTTTTGTGGTGCTGAGCCTATTCAAAGACAGAAACGGGACGACATCCCACAAGCCCAAAGCACTGATCCACCGTGCCAAGAACAACTATAAATGCAGCTGATCGAGCACAAACTCTTCGAAGAGAAGGCAGAGTAATAAACTTCAGAAATGAAGGATGCTAATTTTACAAGGCTCCCTTTAATTGGATCAATCTTTGGGCCCAGAAAGCACCATATTTCACAAACTTCTGAAACATGTATCGCTCTGTAGATAATGAGACATGATTCCCAACCCAAAGAGAGAATTACAATAGCTCAGTCCAGAGCTTTGTGAAATATGGCTGTGTTTCATCAGTACAGAATACTTTATCTACAAACAGTCAGACTCAGGGGAGTTTTTGTCTGCACACCATAATGAAAGCCAAAAATTGTTTATTATTATACAACTTTGTATGAACATTACAGGAATGTGTGAATTTGGTCTGGTGCAATTTCAAATACTTTCAAGTTAATGAGGATGTACTTAATAGTCCACAGACAAAAAAAAAACAGCTCCCCTCTCCTCTTTCTCCACTAATTTTTCCTCTGGTTGAAATGGAGGCAAATACTGATTACAAAAGTAAATTTCAGCACAAGAAAGAGAAATGTAGGGCTGGGCAATAAGGCTGAAATCATTATCACACTATTAATTAGGATATTATCCAATATGCACAAATATATATCAAAATGTGGAAAATGTATGCAAAAATCAAGTAAATGAAACTTGTCTTCAATAACTAATTTTGGTAAGACATATATTATAATTTGCTTTTGAATGACTTTGGACAGCAGAAACTTGAAGAAATGATGCAATCATATTATCAAAATATAATTCTGCTGAAGGTCGATAAATGTTAATATCAAATCATCACCCAGCCATACAGAAAAGTACTCATTTCAACATGAGGGGAACCAGACTTTAATCTCAAAGCAGACTGGTGTCCTGTGCCTCAAAAATAATTTAGGAATTACACTTAATGCTTTTAATTCTTGGGATCTTAAAAATCTACTTTTGACTTGAAAAATGAAATGAAATTGATGAAGTGTCAAAGTTCAAATGTGATACTAGAAGAAAGCCCTCCTGCCAATTTTTATTCTATACCTATCTGACACCAGGCTGTTTGACAGACAAATACCACATTCCCCTACTCAATGTTGTATTTCGTCTTTTAATGTTTAACATTTTCATACACCTGCAAAACTGCAATATTGTCTTTGTTCAGAATGCTGATTTTTCCCCATCTCATAAAACAGAATATTTCAGGGTTTCACTGAGCTCACTCAGTTTTTACCATTATTTTTTTCCATTCAGGTTAAGTAATTTAATTTGTCTCACCAGATGAATTAATTAATGGTCTGAACCAGCTCCAAATTCAGACGGGGAAAACTCAGCAACACCAGACTTCCCTCCACCAGCATTAGGACGAGCTCACAACTATATACTTACACGGCCTATAGAAATTGCTTTCTTGATGAAAACCCCTCCTAAAAATCATCCACATCCCTCACTTCACCTCCCCCCTCCTTTGGGGACAGGAGTTTGTTGGACATTAAGGACTCTACAGTAAATTGGTGGAGGGGGGGGAGGGTACCACCTCTACTTGCCTGGCAGGTTGTTGATGTAGCCACCGTCCATTAGCAAGTTGCCATCTTTGGGGTCACAGAGTGGCGGCAGGTACCCTGAGAGGGTCATGCTCGCCCGCACATAGCGCCACAGAGAGCCTGGCACACCAGGGAGGGAAGGAGGGAGGAGGGAGGAGGAAGGGGGGGAGGGGGATAACAGCTCAATATTGTTTGCTAAACGTTTCAAGTTAGTGTTGACAGACCACAATCCCAACACCAGTGGGACGCTGGCTGAAGGAAGGTAGCTGATCCCTGCAAAGGCTAGGACTGTGGCTCTGCTCACCTTTGGACTCTGTTGTACACCACTGCAAACCTCATTACCTCGCACAGAGACCCTGTGTGACTTGTGCATTAGGTAAAAAAGTAAATGGCAACCATCACAGAGCACCAAGGCTGTTTGAATCTCCAAACTATGTCCCAACAATAGCATTTTGAAGCACGTAACCAAAGAATTCTCTCAAGTTTCTGCAAGATCCACAGATACTGTATGTTGAAGCTGAGACTGCTCATTATAAACAGAGCTTCAGTTGTAGAATATAATGTCAATATGTCAAGAGAAGGCTCAACAGCGCTTGTTGTGACAATGTTTGGAGATATGTCACCGTGAACATGGCAGGGAAGCGCCAAGCCTGCTCAGTCCTGCAGTAAAGCTCAGTGCCAGGAGGGGGCAGGAGCAGGCCGGGCACTGCATGGGTTGGAAGGATAAGGAGCACCGCAGAGAAAAGCAAGGGGTGCAACTGTGCGTGGAGTATACGTAAATGCTGAGGAAGAATTGTCTTACTGATTTTAGAGGAATTACTACCACCTACACATTCCATTCCTGTACTCTATATTTATGTAACTTAAGGGCTTTCAGTTTGTGCAAGGGGCTAAAACAGGCAGGATCCAGAACACATACCCCCAAAAAATAACTTAAAAAATGTTATCAGTAAGGTAATACATGCAATCAATATATATTTATGAGAAATATATAGATAGGCTCACTGTCTAACACTGGCATGCACATAAAAGCAAGCAAAGCCAGGGAAGAGGACAGGGGCTGTAAAGGAGAGACTGAACATGTTCCTTTAGGTAGAGATGATTGAAATGAAACAGAAGGGAACATGGGAAACAAGCTGCAGTTCAGTCCAAAGGAGAGAGACATTTTGGCCCACCGAAACGCGCTATGATCCACGACAACAACAAAAGACAGATGTGATGTGATGTTGACATGGTGCAGCCCTTCACTCTCTCCTGTTAGGCAGAACTATCACCCAAAACATACAGTATATGCACCTTATCAAATCTATACCTGATCTCACAATGAAAATCCAAACCGGTCAAGTCTGATTGGCTGAGCTACCTGCAAGTTAGTAACCAACTGCCCTTTCGTAAAGATGTATCACAATAAGCAAGTACAGTGGTGCATGAAGACATCAGTGTTTACAAGCCACATCCAGAACTTTATAAACAAGAAGGGAAATTTTTAGCAAACACAGAGGGCCTTAAAAAGCCAGACCATCATGCACCTCTCTATGACCCATAGATGTCCTGACATGCATGGGCAAAACCTCACACCCAATAAGAAAATGAAGATCAGCAGTCATATTCAGAGGTGGCGATAAGCCAGTTGGGGAAAATGTGTTGTGTATGTGAATTACAAATCCAGTGGGAGAGAGAATAAGATGTGCTATTGGTCATTATTTGGTAAAATATGAGGTACTGAATGCATCAGCCCAAAGATATATATTGGAATTAGTCTTTCCTTCCAAACCATGGGCTCCCAATGTCCACCTGGTCAGGGTGGGGTTAGTTACGAGTGAGAAATTGGGAGGGAGAGGACAAGAAAGAGGAGGAGGGAAGCCAAGAGGTTGACTGTCGACTTAGGGATGGGGGAGGAGGTTCTGGTGAGCCGGTGTTTAAAATCTGACCTGGGACATTGTTAACATAGCAACCATCCACAAGCAAGTGGCCATCCTTGGGGTCGCACAGGGGAGGTAAATAGGGGGTGTAGGAGGCGCTGGCTCTAACATAGCGCCAGACACAACCTGTCGGGAAATGGAGATGGAGAAGGAGGAACACATCAAATATGGGCCGGACTCCACGTCACAGATGGAAAAAGAGAGAATGACAGAGAGAGAAATGGAGAAGAACGAAGAGAAAGAGAGGAAAAAGGAGGGAGAGAGAAGAAATGCCCGCAACAAAGAGAAGAAGAGTGCAGGAAGCTGCCAAGAGCAAGACAGAGGAAGAGGAATACAATGTCAACAAAATTACTTACTTGTGCCTATGGTTTCTAACCAATGGAGTAAATTCTAGTATGAGGCCAATTTGCTCTAAAAGGACTGGCACAACTCCACAGCCAATTAAATTCAACTGTTTGAAGGCTAATTAAGGAATTATAAACAACTTTGTTCAGAGTAATGGCAAGATACAAAAATGTCAACGCAGTATAATCTTCTGACTGTGTTAAAACAATTCAAGCTAAGTAAAACAATCCATGGTATAAATAACAAATATGTTGAATGAATGACAACAGATGTGTGTAAATTAGCTTTATAACCTAAAAATAATGATGCAAGGTTCATTTGATGTGTTGATTAAGAATATTAAAAATAGTATTAGCGCTGTTAGATGACTGGCTCAACAAGCAAGGTCAGAGGAAGACAAGCAGAGACAGAGAGAGGAAGAGATAAAGAAGAAGAAAGAGAGAGGTAGAGAGAGATAGAGACCTTCACTTTAAGAAGTGCTGTGGGGTCTTTAAGTAAATTCTGCAAGGGAAACTGGACAAGGATTTACAGGAAAGAGTTTCGCTTACTGTTTAGTTTCCTACCAGTTTTCTCAGATCTCACTCTTGGTAGTGTTTCCCAGTGGATAAAACCAAAGGATGTAATTCAAACCTGTGACACTGTGTACCTGTACACTCATCAAAATGGCATACAATTACGCTTTTCTTTCAATAGCTGTAGTCAAAATGACATACTCAGAGTAGCACCACGCTAACAATGTTTGATAAAAATCACACCAGAAAAACTACAGAAAGCACAGAGTGGAGGTGAAGGAGTGAGGGAAGCAACGTGGGATGTCATTAAAGAGCAAGGAGGGGAAAGGCAGGGTGGAGTGTTCTGGATCCTACATGTTGACATGGACATGGGAGGGGAGTCAGCATTTTGGGGTCAGTGACTACACGGGTTATTTTGTCTATGCTATGTCTCTCCATGTGAAGAAAGACCTGATGTAACAGATATATCTAGGGAGAGTTTTAGACAAAAATGTGATGAAAAAAAAAAAAAACAATGGATAAGCTTCAACTTAATTTAGCATGTGAAAAGGAAGAAGTCAAATGGAAGAAGAAGAAAAGAAGTTTAAGAGAGAGAGAGAGAGAAAAATCAAGATATAGACACAGTCAGAAAGATCTTTTGCAAGAAAGAAAGAAAGAAAGAAAGAAAGAAAGAAGTGCAGCAAAAGTAAAAGAGGCAGATGATGGGAACAATGAAACTGAGAGAGAAAGAGGCTTTGCTCCTGCAGTTAGTTCATACACATGCCAAGATGCAAACATAAGCATTCAGTGTTTAACTTCAGGACTCAGGCCTGCAAACCCATAAACCCCTCAAATCCAGTAATCACCCTGAATTATAATAATTGAAAACTTTACAATGAAACTAGCAATGTCTTAATTTGATGCACAACATTGTAAATTACATGGTTGCATTACACTGAGTACGGTATAAAGTTAAATTGCTTTTAAAATGGCACGCTAGATTTGTGGGGTTCATGGGGGGTCATTTCAGACTACACAGAGCTACTTTAGCTAATGTTAGTGATGGTGCATTTTTTATGCAGGTCAAACAGAACACATTTAACCATCAGCAAATACAGACACAAGCACAGAAACATCTACACAGTGTTTTCTTATCTATTGAAGTGTCCTTCTAAGCCCTAGGCTGCAGCATACTAAGCATGTTTGTGAAGCTAAAATAGGTGGTCTGCGAGTAAAGTCAAGCAATGCGTTTGGCCTTGATGGCTGCGATGTATGCAGGCAGGCCATTCAAATGTTTTTTTGGTCCTTTTTGACTGTTCCCTGACATACTCTTGTTTGCAAGTCATCAGTAATGTCACGTGAATGGCTGCAATTAACGGTCTCTTGTTTTAAGCGTATATCCATAAAATTTTATTCCTTGTTTTTGTGGAACTTCAAGTTGTTTACTTCCAGCACGACTCACAGGGTTCTCCAGCTGGTGTGGACACTATTCAACTATTCAACAACAGTTTGAGAACACATTCAATTTAGCCTTAAACCATAAATCTGAAGGCATGGAGTCTAGCTACTCTAGACGATGCAAAAGCCAGTTACATTTTTGTGTATTGCCCCAAGTGCCTACCAATACAATATTTATAGACTTGTTATATAAAGAATAAGAGACATTACAGTGCCTCAAGAAACTTCTGAGGGCTGATGCAATGACATGCCAATATATTCACATAGGTAACAGTTTTAGTCATTGTGCCATTTTACTTCTGACTGACTGCTGCAAGCATTACTCACTGTTTAACTACCTTTGAAGCATGTATTCATGATAATGCCAATTTCACACATTAGTTCTCTGTCATTCAGAGCAGTATTATTGGATTGAGTTGTGTTAAATGTTGAGAAAGACTTAAACAATTACTCATGCCCTTTATTGTGTATGTACGTATGTGTGCTATAGCTGTCAAATAATCTTGGCAAATGTACTGTACTAAAAGTACTATTAAAGTACTGACTTGAGCTTGTTTAAAGCTTTTTATCAAAATAGTATTATCATAGAGAGGGGTGTCGGCCCCTGCAGTCAGCTCAGCTGTCACTCACCATCCTGATGAACACGCATGGCTGAGGCTGTGATATCAGTAGTGACGTTGAAGTATGGCAGCCACAGGTCCTGAGGACAAAAATTATGTCAGTGTCATACCTCATTATTATTTTTACAGTGACTTCTGACAGGCCTTACTCCTTTGGTAAATAAATTCTTTGTGAACTTGAAACATGATTTTGTAGCACAGCCTCTCACCTCAGCTTGCTTGTCCTGGAACACTTTATAGATGCTGGTGTTGAAGGCAGAGCCGGAGAACATGGAGGTGATGGGATAAGTCAGGTCCAGGACTGTTTTAAAAACTGAGTTCATGGCCTAATAATAAAAAAAACAGAGAAATTGGGAAATAGTCCTATTACTAATTCTTTTTTTGAATCATACCATAAGGGTTTTGTTGTTACTGTTTTCATTTTAGGAACGAACCCTATACATATGAGCAAGATTGAAATGACCAATGAACAATCGCTAGAGATGTGTGCTGTACCTTTGACCACTCTCTAGCTCTCTGTTTGGTTCTGACAGCACTCCTCTCCTCAGCGTACAGTGCACCAATGAATGAGCCAATTGAGGTCCCACCCACTATGTCAATAGGAATCCCCGCTTCCTCCATGGCTTTGATCACACCCACATGGGAGCAGCCTCTGCACGAGGGAAAACAAACATGTTAAGACTCCCAAGCAGGTGCAATAGATGACTTCATATGCCACAAACTGCACGTGGTACTGAGAGGTAAAAGAATTATGTAAGATGGTCCTTTTGTATGAAAGATTACATTTTCATGTTATTTAGTTGAATTATGTTACTGAAATGGGCATGCTTTTCAATTGCAGCTTCACTTTGTATATTTGGGTAAAGAGACGGGTGTATTTACACATTAGAAATCTGCCCCTGTATTATCTTTCAAAATGGTAACTGAAGGGGAGTTTAGAGCTGCTGAGGAATTATATAATATTCATGATGGGTGTTTAGCAAGCATTGCTAATACTACATTTTAAAATGCTAAACCCTAAACACAAACTTTTCTCTAAATGACTGTACGGCTAGTTCTAGTGAACTGTTCTCACCTAGCTCCACCTCCTCCCAGCACCAGGGCGATGCTGTTTCCAGTCAGGACTCGGGCCAGCCGAGAGAAATCACTGTGCCTGTCTGCTGTTTTCTCAAACACCTTTTCATACACCTCCCTCTGTGGAAACATAGAAAATACAAATGAAAATACCATAAGAGAATAAACTTTCCATTAACATCTATCAACATAAGACTAGTGTTCTTGCACAGTATTTAAGTTGAAGTGCCATTGATTTACCAGACCATTCTTTCATGACTGCACTCTTAGTTTTAAAACAGCTACAAATGACAGTAGAGTTTGCTTAATACCAGTTTGCTGGGACTGCGTCTAGAGAAGACCCTGCGAGGACACTTGAGGTGCAGATGCCCAGAGCACCAACTACGCATGTTGAGCCACTCAACCGTCCTGGAGGGGCCTGGCCCATCCTCTCTGTGCAGAAGGACCAGCTGCTTCAGAGCCCGGACTGCTGTGTTCTCCAGCATCTGCTCCAACTAGAGGACAAGAGAAGAATAAGAAGAGAGACAAGGACAGTAAATGTACTGTATTGGTATCTTGAAGGTCAGTTGTTACTGTCATGTTCCTCCCTTTCACATTCCTTATACACACACTTATACACACACACATACACACACACACCTCTCCCAAGGTAGGTTCCTGGTCCCCTAGGCCAACAATGAGGATGCAGTCAGCCTGGCGGATGCAGCGCTGAGTCCACGGGGTCATGCTGTTGTCAGTCTGATACAGGACAATCCGATTGATGTCCTCCTGCTGTGCCAGCCAGCCGGACAGACGGTACTCATGGATACTGATGGATAGAGAGGACAGCAGAGATGAGGGTACTGAATAGCCTTTTAAGTCACCAAAGTATACAAACACAGTGACTGAGAAGTTGATGAGGTAGAGATAGATTGAGTGGAAATTATAATGATGAATAGAAACAAACTGAAAAGGGAAAAAATAATGGTTACAGCTGGGAAACCTTTATGATGATGCTTGATAAGAATGAGAACTGAGATGATTCTCTGATTGTCAGACTCACCTGTCCAAAGCAGAAGCACCCAGTCGCTCTCTGATTATGTCACTGGTTAATAGCAGAGTGGGCCCTGCAAGTGTCCAACAGGGGCAGTGTAAAATATATGAATACAAAAAAACTGTTAGGAATGTAAAAGTTACACTTGTGTATGGCAGTCTGTTTTACTTTAACATACTAGGAGTGTTTCATTTAACCTGCAATACAGGGGTACAGATCAGGTTTGATGTAATGTTATACTTTTGTTATAACCAGGGCTGAGGGCTGTTTTGGACAAAATAAAAGATTTGTGGGCCTACCAATGGCACTGAGGGCATGGCTGAGCTCCAAGTTGAACGCATTGATTGGCACCTCATCACATACAGGCAGCACAGCCACAGTGGAGAGGTTGCTGGCAGGGTTGGTTACATCAGCACTAGTTGTCATACTGGGCAGACTCAGGGCTGAGCCTGGAAGACAGGGGCACAGTGTGTAAATAGAGTAAGTGAGAAAGGCATTAGGCTGAACTAACAAAGACATGGGGACGTTTGTGTGCAAATTAAGAGATCCTCCTCATCACCTCACCTGAGAATGGTCCGCGACCTTGCTGCAAGTTGCCTAGAATCTTCTGGCCTAACAAGTGGATCAACCTCGTCACCACCTAAACAGAGAAAACAAGCATCCGTATTATTTCATTTGAACATGACACCTCAACCAGACTAAAGGGTTTCACTGATGAAATCATTGACCTGTGGGTATCGTCTTTTGATGTTGTTGAGTGTTCCCTCTGGCAGTTTGACCAGCTCTGTGTCTCTCACAGCATGGACAGTGGTGGCTCTTGGCTGCCTGGTCAAAGCCTCCACCTACACACAACATATAGGGGTTTGTAGAACTCAAAAAAGTAAAGATAGCAAAATCATTACTTCTTGTGTGAAATGGCAATAAAGATGAATAGTGATCAATATTTAAAGCAAGATGATTGAGTGTGTCATTTTATTAACAACTATGCACAATTATATCAAAAGATAATGAAATACAAAATGTATTTGTTTCAACTAATTTAGTATTAAAGAAATTAAACCTTAACCAAACTGTCTAAATGTAGAAAACCCACTCATATTGCATTATGACCAATTTAGAAACAAAGACTGCACTACTTGCAACAGTAATTCATCAAGCTCTGAGACTATAAGCCACTCAATAGCAACTCGATAACTTTCATCTCCATTTCATTTTCATAGCTGAGGTTTATTTTACACTCAGTCAGAATGAGATTAGGACAGAGAGGGAAACGGCCCTGTTCTCACCACACCAATGAGGTCTCCTCTGCCATATTCCCCAACTAGTTCTTTCTTGCCATTTGCCTTGCGGATGACTGAACGCAGACGTCCATTCAGAACAATATAGGTGCAGTCTGACTGATCGTCCTGTCTATAGATATGAAGGGAAAAACATCACAGCTACTGTTACAAATTAACTGTAAATGAACAATATTGTGATGGCAAGTATAATTTGCAAAAAGAAGCAAAATGTCTCTACATCTTTAAAAAAAAAAATCATAAGTAGAGTACCTATAGAGGGCTCTGCCAGCCTCCACAGCCATCCAGTCAATAGCAAAATCCATCTGCCTGACAAATGGGGACATGCGGATGGCCACTGTGTGGGCTGCACTCAGCACCACACTGGGCTGTTCCCTCATGATCCTGCAGGTGGCAACACACAGCACAGGCACAGATATGACAAATACTGGATATGCAATACTTATAAGTAGATGTTTTATTGCAAAACTGAATGGAAGATCCATCAGTCTGTACAGAAAGCATCAACTGGAAATTCAAATGTCAAAGATTGCTTGAATGTGTAATTGCACTGTAGGACACGCAGTGGAATATTTGTTGCTTTCTTGATGAGAGCTCATGTGTAATGTTAGACTCGGTTGTATGCCTGCTTAAATATAAATACTTGTCAGTCTGGCTTGTCCACATTAAAGACAATCGACTTACTCGTAGAAATCCGACTTTGAGATCTTGAGGTAAGTACAGTCTCGGACGGCCTTGATGGTGAAGATCAGGGGTTCTCCAGTAAGAACAGCGAGTTGGCCAACCATCTCCCCTGGGTGGGTCACAAACAAGCAGACAGCTTCCTGCTTGTTGATCATCCGCTGGTAGACATGCAGACAACCAGACAGGACAAAGTGCAGACTCACGTCCTTGAGAAGTTAAAAGGGGAAGAGATAGAGAAAGCAAAAACAGAGGAGGAAAATAACTTTGTTGTATTATCTGACACATTCAGATTTTGCTCAAGTGAATGAATTACAAAATTTACTATTAAGAAAAACCTAAGCATACACAGAAACTACACTTCTTGGTAATATCTTACCTCAATTATTACGCTCTCAAAAGCAGAGTGCAGTATCTGCATTAAGTATACTACATAGATTCTATAGCACGGATGTCTGTGGGTAAAACAATGAGCCTAAAAAGCCATAAAACCCTAATTAAAACCATCTATCTGTTATACAGTGAAAACTTTAAACCCTTTTTTCTCAACTTCACTGTTTCTGTAGTTACTGCACTCTGCCATTGTAGGGCAGTATATAGCTAAAGGGGGACAGTTATTAAAGGGTCAAAGGGGTCCTGTATGTCTTGTTTACAGTACCTGGTCTCCCTGTCTGGCTAAGACAGCTCCAGCTTTGGCGTGGTGCAGAGTCACTCTCCCATTCAACAAAGATGGGTCCTGGGTTTAAGGAGATAGGAAGCAGATACAAGTCCAGCAGAGGTAAGATGGTACAGGCAAAGTGGAGGAACAAAATGGATGAAATGTCTTCATTCTCCTTTGTTCACCGTTGGATGAAAGAAAAAGCCAATTCTGCAACACTTATTTCCTTGATAATGCTTTGATCTAGTTACACCAACATGATGTTTGGAAATATTACATGTTGCAATGCCTACTAAGAGAAGCCCAGAGAGGTTTAACCACATATTGCATCAAATACATGTCTACACATCGTCATTATGTTTTTTTTTCTGAATTTTGAAGTTTGCTTGTAAGATAATTGCATATTTTGTTATCTCCTTTTTCTTATATATTTCCAAACAGATAGGAGCAGCTCATGTCTCAGCCTCAGAGACCATGGCTTGACACTGCAGCCCTCTCTCCCTCCTCATTTACAGACTGAGCCCAGCTCCTCTAGAGTGAGCCCACTGACTGACCTCCTTTTGACATCATAATCAGTCAACAGATGCTCCAGGGAACTCTACGACAATGTGTTCATTCATGCAAATAAATAATAACAATGTGAAGAGTCTATTATTATCATTTCTTAATCCATGACAATTTGGTCCCACACTAGGAGAGCACTGCACTGACTGTACGTTTTAACCCTGCTTTACTTTGTTTCAGCTGAAGTGGCTGAAAAATATGATTATATGGAAACTGATTTGATAAAAACATTTATCACAGTAGAATGCATCTAGTACCATGGTCACAGCCAGCGGGTAATGATTTAGGCTGACATATTTGTTAAGTTGTATTTTTAAAAATGGGGAATGATGAGAAAATGTAAATTACTGAAAATTCATGTTTGTACTATTCCATTACACATTTTAATTTATGTACTTTTTTCTGATGTAAACAGTAATAAGTTCTACAAAATGCATGTTTAAAAAAAAAAAAAATGCTTGACAAGGACTAGCTTTTACTCAACAATCCTCTCTGGATTTAATTCCACATGGTGCCTATATGCAAAAATGTATAAATATCTGCATTTTGGAAACAGGTTTGAACTACAAGCTTTCCTTTGTTTGAAACACTATTAGTGAACACATTTTTTTTTAACAAACCTCAATCCTCATGAGTTTGAGGACCTCTTTCTGAGCTTCTTCGAACAGCGCAGCACTGGATCGACTGGATACAGGTGTAAAAATATTGTCCACTCCTGGCTCTTCTTCTGGATACAGGTAGATCCCTGAGGGAACCTCATCTACTGTCACCCTCCTCTCCCGCTGGTCCTGGGACACGGACTGTAATAATGTACATATAAAAAAATATTTGATGAGTCTTATTTTGAAAAAAGGACATCTGCCCCTGCATCCATGAATTGTCATGATGACACAATTAACTAAGACTTTTGCTTTCAACAGAGGGGAGCAACAAACAAATAGTCAAGGCTGGAGGACGTTCTTTCTTGTTCAAAGGATAAAGTTATTAACAGATAATCACTGATAGTTGAAAAGAACAAAAACATTTTAGTAGCTTTGGAGAAACACTTAATTTTAGATATTCGTAGTGTTTAATAAACTGGACAACTTTAATATTCATGCCCTGTGCCCTGTGTTCTCAAATGCCACTTTAGCTGCTGCTGCAATTACCCAAATCTATGTCAGGGAATCAATAAAGTCAACCTTATCTGATTTGCAGTGTACTCACCCGAGTAAAGTTGGGAGGAGTGTTGCCATCTTCTGCAGAGACAGAGATCCGCCCCCTTTCATACGCCATGTCAAAGTCTGATCTCAGACCTTTCTGTATACCTGCACAGACAATATTTAGATAGCGCTCTTCAGTCTTTAAACATTCAGCCTTGTTTAGGTAAATACATACATCTTAACTTTGGGTGGTTTTCATGTTTGAACAGAACAAATGAATAACTTTTTGCCTGATCAATAAAAAAAGGCAAAATCTGCAGCACGTTTTAAAACTGTCATCAAATTTTCCATCTAAAAACAACGATACTGTGAAGATTAAAACATCTGTCTTTAAGTCAGAGGCCAATCATCCTTTAAGCATTTCTGAGAGCAACAATGTCAGAAATCATCTGATGATTTTAATTGTTATCATGATCATACTTGCATTCTCTTTTTAGAGTAAGAACAATAGTAAGATAGCTAACTTTGATTTAGTTTGCCCACACTTCATTCACAACATTTGCATCTTCATAGCATGAATCTGTCTGTGTTAACGTGTTGTTACCTGCAGATGGTTGAGGTAGCTTTGTCTGCCTATCTAACTGCACTGTGCTTCACTGGGAAGAGAACAGAGACCTGTCTTTTCAAGCAGCTACACTGAAGTGAATAACTGTTCAAACCTGCTGAAAAGATGCAAACTAAAGCGCTTCATAGCTTGAATAAAATGCTTTGATTATGACTGGTGTGAACACGTCCAACGATTAGGTACGTGCAGTGTATTGTAGACAGGTATCACATCACAGGAGCTGAGTCATTTGGTTTTAGGTCACATGTGCTGAACCCTTCTGTGGAGTCACAGTCACATGGTTCAGCTAATCATTTTTCCGCTTTCTCAAAATAGCACCACATGGTACTGTATCCTGTTTATTGGTAAAACTATAGAACATTAAGAAACCATTATGTCTGTGAACAGGAGAGAAGTCCCTCACCAGCAATGTCCACAGGCATGGAGATAGTCCTACTCAGAGTTGGCACTGTTGCTCCCTCCTTCCCTTGTTCTCCTCCTGTAAATAAATCAAATGTATAGCATTAATTGAGCAACAAAACACAGAAGTAACACTTGTGGGAAACGGACAGTCAAGATATTTATAAACTTTAATGGAGTTAATCATTTTTTGCCAACCTGTAGCTTCACCCTTAATGGCAGCTTCCCGATGCTCCTCAGGCACTGTCAGGCTGCCAAAGCGCTTGCCATGGCGGATGGGACTGGTGCGAGTTGGGTGGGGTGACTGAGGTGGCAGACGCGAGGGCTGCATTTCCTATAGAAGACATGCGAATGGTATGTAGTGTGATTTGTGTGACGCACACAGTATGTTCGTGTGTGTGGTGGGAGAGAGGAAAGAGAGACACAACATTAGCATTTAGTGACTCAAATAAATCATAATAAAAACAGTGTGTGTACTGGGCTAATGATGCAGAATTCCACATAAATGCCAAACCACATTACCCACAGATGTTTGCATGGGACTCTTTGTATGTGTGTGTGCATATGAGCATGTGCATGTGCATGTGCATGTGCATGTGCATGTGATCTTACATGGCTGAAGAGCTCATTGGTGAGTCCCAGATAGTTGTGCAGGGCTAGGACTGTTACTCTTTGGAGACGAACCATGATAATCTGAACAGATACAACAGGAAGAGAATAGGAAGAGAGTCATTTGACATATCACATGCAAACAGACAGGTGACTTTATCGAAACCACTTCAGGTTTTTGAGTGCATACGTTTCAAGCCTATAGTAGAGGAAAACTAAATATACTGTATGTAACTCACCTGTACGACTCGCACCAGGCTCTCAGGGTACTTCTCAAATATAGAGAGGAAGGCCTCTACAGGTAATCGGAGAACAGTGGAAACCTCTGCAGCCCGTGCTGACACCGTTCTGTAAGGCTTCTGGTGGCCCTGCACACAAAGATACAACAGATTTGATACTTCAGAAAATTTTTATATTTTCCCAGTCTCTTTATGAAGTGAGTTTTTATAGACTGTAAATTTGTATTTGTTCGTGGACAAAATCAGAAATCTTCATTGTTAACATCATATCAACCTTCCTCATTTAAGACACACTTTGATGTTATACTGATTCCATCCAATTTATGCAAATACAACTAAAGATTAATGTATGGGTAATGTGTATGCCAGTGGATAAGGTTTGGTGAGTCAGCTGGTGAATGTGAATGATGTGAGGAGCAAGGAATTCGTGTTAGGCAATGAATAGACCCAACATCCACACCTCATTCCTGAAGGTGTGTGAATTATATGAATGTCCGTCTGTTGGGGAAACCTGTGTGGACAACCTCGTCTGTGCAGATTTGTGTGTGTGGCAAGGGGTGTGACCTACTGTGATGACATCCAGGATGCTGAGGAGGCTGTGGACGCTGTCTCCAGGGTAAACCTCCTTCACCACACTTTCTTTGCCATCCTAGAAGACAGAAATAAGCAGCAGTTTACATATCAAGCAACAGAAATTGTTTTATCACTAAATGTTTTTCTTGAGAACTTGAGAAATAAAACACACTAATATTGGCCGAAAAGGTGTAGGCTGAAGCTATAGCTTATTTCACCTACCCTCTCTACATAACGTTACATAAAACTGCAACCCTCTCACTAAAGGCCAATATATAGTCAGCGAAAATAGGAGTGAAAACAGAACAAAATCAACCAGAAAGAAACTTTTCACCACTCAAATTAGACACTGTATTATTTACAAACAAAAACTGAACATTGAAGAGAACATTAAAGGACCGCCTACACAACTGACATCCCGGACTTGTCTGTCACAGTCGGTTTGGCTAAAAACAACAACGCATAAGTGGTTATTTGCATATAGAGCGGGGAAGTGAGATCCAATCACATGTCCTCTGATATCCTCATTGAGACTTGTTAAAAGCCCCTTGAAACAGGCTTTAAGATACTTATTTGTCATTATGAGAGTAACCTTTGCTAACAGGCAGCCCCCCTAATGAGATTATCTGAGTCAAATGTTAATAGATGCTAATGATCTGTTAAAGCCTGAAATCCCACAGTTAAGCCGTTTGATAGATTTTCTTCCTTGCGTGCATTAGTTTGTATCAAGTTTTCACTATTACACATTTTAGACCATATAATCCGAAAATATAAAAACAAGTGTTATATTCATTAAAAATCTCAGGTAAACAGTATCAATGGGTATGCATGCACAAACAAGATTGCATACCATTCCAGTAAGGCACAATTCTAGTTTTCCATCCTGAACCACGTAGATGCTGCTGTCAGGCTGGCCAGGCCTGAAGACGTACTCCCCTTGTTGGAACTGCAGAAACACCATGTGTTTACACAGCTCAAGGAAGAGAGGCTTCTCAAAGTGACCCAGTACACTGCAGTCAAGGACAAAGGAGAGTTTAGTTGGTTAGGAGGTGAACACACAGCAGCCAACAGATGCACAAATGAGCATTGTACATACATACTGAAAAATGTAGGTTTTTTTAAGATCCGATTATACGCACTTCTAGGCAACCGCTTCACAGCAGAACCACACATCTAACACGCATGTGTGTAGGAGCATATTTTATTACTCGTGCAAATAACACAATCACACAAACATCACACAGAGGATGAACTTACCGAACATTTTTGAGCATGTAGAGCACCTCAGAGGGGAGGTGGGAGTTGGCCACATCAAATTCGGTGAGGTCCGCCTCCAGCACTGAGGGAGGGGGCTCCTTAGCCTGAAGGGTGGGCACCTCCTTCTTAAAGCGCAGGATCCTACACAAGTGAGAGACATGGATATAGTTGGATAAGATAAGGAGATAGGATAGTGTGCTAACTACTAGCTGCGCATGACAGTAATGGAAGTTGATGAGAGTGAGTTTTTTTAGATGTACTTTTTGGCAATGTTGAGCATCTTCTGCTTCTTCTTGAGGCGTGGTCGAGAGGAAGAGGATGTACCCACCAGGGAAGAGGTAGACTGGGAGACCTGTTGGGAAATACATTGGTTTAAACTATCCCCATGGTATTATCCTTGCATTACGTATTATCCTGGAAAGGCAGACATGAACCATGACTCACTTTGAGTCAGAGCCATAACTATCATTAGTGGCCTTTGAAATGTTTCCATTTCATGTCAGCAAACACACTCACTTTACGCATGATCTTTCGCCCATAGAACATGACTTTGTCCCTCTTGCGGAAGCGGTACTTGGGTGCCTCCTGAGCTTCTAGGTCTGTGAAATATAAGAAATTACAAATTAGTAAGTCCTCATTTTTCATGACTATCATTTTAAGTTCCCAGCACAAGGTGAGAAATGCATTTACTGACTTCGAAGCTGGATCCTCCGCAAGATAAAGAAGATGAGGATGGCGATGAGAACTATGGCGATGCCTGCACCAATCACCATCCCCACCATCTGAAGAGAAAAGAACAAAAGAGGAGGAGACTTGATGCGTATACAGGATCAAAGATTGCATAACAACAAAATGTAATTGCCTGTGCTGGCTGCAGCACAAAAATTATATTTACTTTAGTGTTTTAAAAAGTATAATTCATTATTTCATCTGCTTGCTTGTGCCCTCTGAACAATATTGATCAAAACTAAATTTCATATTTTCTAACTTAAGCAAAGATGAAACATGTATGGTAGTGATACAATTCCCTGCTGGAGTGACTCAACAGGAGCTAAATGAAAGCAATGAGAAAAGCCAAAATATCTCGATGAAACCTCATCGCACACTCACCATGCTCGTCTGTAGTTCCTCCTCCACAAATGTCTTGATGTTATTAAACCCGTCCTAATGTAAGAGAGAGATACAGAGACACATTACTAATCTGAAAGAGAAAAAAAGCATGCTAACTGCTTAGAAACTTGTCCGATGGCTGCTATACCTCCTTCAGTATTTTCAGACTAAAATGCTGTGTGAAGTTGGGCCTGAAAGCTTCAATTCCACTGAAGTGTAATGGAATGTGGGAATAAGGGATTTTGCCCTGGAGGCAGGAATGTCTGGCTATCAGTGCTTGGGAAACAAAAAGAGAAGAGAATGGAGATGTAGCATCTTATCTGACCTTCTCCAGGTTCATGCCCATGCATTTGGCTTCCAACTATGTTTCCCAGGCCTTTACTTCCACTTTCCACTCAGTCATAAACAGTATACCACACAGAGGTTTGCTGCTCTGTTCCCTATTTATAATAACTTGTCATAGATACAACTATTTATAGACTCAGTATTCCAGGTGTAAAGCTGTAAAGGCAACACGAGATCACATGAATGGGACAGATGGCACGATGGCACAGAGGCATAAAAATCCCATCAGGCTGGTCTCTTCTGGAGTCCACCAGAAAGGCCACAGTCTCCAGTTCACACTGTGCTGAATATCAGGACAAAGAGCTCCCCTAACTCCTGACTTACTCTAGTCAGGCTCTGAACAGGCATAAAAACATAGAGGGTGACCGGATCGAAATTGACTTCCACCACTGTGCGGGGTGGCTATATTCATTTCAATCACAGACATACTGTATGTTAGAAACAATATGATCTGCTGCTGTGGGGGGATGAAACTTCTCTATATATAGACAAGGTCCATAGACTGAGAAGAAGATATAAAGAAAACTGGTGGAGCTGGAAGTATGGAGTATGTGACTAAGCATGAAAGACACCACGAAATAAAAGAAAAAAGGATACACATATTTAAGATCAGGAAGGAAATGCCCTGGTGCATTGTCTTCACAAGACTAGGTATAAACTTAGTATATGGCTGGACTGTGTTTGGGTGTTTGCATGGTGTTATTTGTGAAAAAAAAAGGTTAAATGCTAATTTAACATGCCAGAATTAAATCCTCCCCTCAGGCTAGCCTCAGTTAGCCACCTAGTTAGTTTCAGAGCTCACCTGCTGGAGTAATCCTGACACACTAACACATCATAAAACCCCAGTCATCACGGGAAGATGCTGAATAACAACCATACCGACAGTGTGATAGAAGTGAGAGCACTTTTATGGTGCTTTCTCTGTGAATAATCCATAAACTCCAGACTGGGAGAAGGTGTTCTGTGCTTTCATATAATTCACTACAAAATCTTTAAATGTGTCTAGATTGGTTTACTGTCTAGACTCCAGCACCTGCTTATTCACATGAAACCCACTACACTTTATAATGCAATGATTTGCTGGCTAGCGAACTACGGTTGAAAGTAGCTGTACAAGATGGCGGACTTTACGCTGTTTACACGTAATGTTTATGCTCACTCAACTCTACAACTCACTCACTCAGTCACAGAGTGAGCAATGGCAGATACAGCGTTGGCCCATGCACAGTACACACAAAAACAAGTCGCTAAACAGAGGAAGATTAAAGGAACCTACTCAGAGTTAGCAGAGTAGTTTTACTTCTGGCTTGATTAAAGAGACTTTTATCACGCAAGTTCAGTAACATCAAACAAAGCACTTCTTTACTCATCAAAACTAGACTGTCAGTGCAGGGAGTGGAAACATCCTGTGGCCAAGATAAGGGTTTTTGTGTTACCTTGCGTGTGTGCGTGTGTGCGTGTGTGTGTGTGTGTTCCGCTAGCTAGCCATCAGATACAGTATTGTAAGAGCAAGAGTAACAGGGTTTTAGTGTTCTGGCTGACAGCCACTGGGACTACATGTCTGTTATCAGTGGTTATTGATTAGTGTTTGAGGAGCCAAGGGTTATTTGGCAGTAAAAGGCCTAAGATGGACACTAGGGATATTGAAAATGGGGCTGTAAGATGGTGAGTGCATAGGCAGCATGTGCACACAGAAATATACTTATGCTGAAGGTTTCAAGTGGTACGCAACAGAGTTTGTAAATCGAAGTGTAAGTGGGAAAGTGTTCATGTGTGCAGTTGTGTACAGCTTTAAGGCGATGGCTACAATATTGTCACAGACAGTTCCAGACAATGTATTGGTTTTTCTGTTCCATACGTTTAGTTATCTACAGCTTTGGTTTGAGTTTTGTTATTTTAAAAGTAGGGGAAGCAATGTTTGGTTGGAAACAAAGAGAAAGTTTACTGCAGTAAATAATGTAAATAATAATTTAATAACTTTGTTTCAAAGAGAAGCTCAAAATCCCAAATGACTCAGAAAAGGCTTTTTCATTGTTGGGATATCATGATCTATGACTGTGGCTGTTCGAATTATCATCTTTGTTACTATGAGCTGCTCTTGCACTGTGTGCTGCTCTTTGGCTGAAATTTGTGTAGTGTTATCATCACTAAACATATTAGCAAAGAGAAGTGGCTTACTGGCTATGAAAAGCTGCTGGTGGGTCACTGTGCCTTGTTCTGTGTAAGTCCACTTACCAACTCCTGATGGTATACTCATGTACCTACATTTACATATACTTGTATACCCAGGTTTTGATTGACTCCTTGTGTTTTATCATAATGCAAATAAATACAGTCAACAGACAAACCTCGGGGGTGTCTCCTTGGACCTCTTGTTCCGAGGTACTCTGTCCCATTGTAACCCTGTTTCTTCATAGGGATGGTCCATCAACGGCCACTGGAAACAAAGACGATGCATATTCAACAGACAGATATTTTAACATTTCACAGCAGGAAAAGCACGGGTATAATTAATAAAATAATGATGACTGTATAGTATTTCATTTTATTCCAATTAGGTGCTTCAGTTTCAGGGTTATGGTATTGTGCATGCTGGCTCACTGTCGCACTGTCATGGCTTACTGGGACACTTAAATAGAGCAGGGCAATTGTTAATGTTATTAGCAATGCCGGTTCTTTTTCTACTATGACAACCCAAAATATCAGCTATGAAAAAAGCCTCTTAAAGGCGAAAGGATGCCTATGTTCACACGTGCACAAACACATACAGAGATCAAAATCTTGTTCCTGACTTTTCAGCAGCATCTGTGGAAAGATGCCCACCTTACTTGTATGAACTTGACATCAATAAACATCCACTCATACCTCAGGACTCAGGAGTTTGTGCGTGGCTTTTCCCCCAACATCTGGCTATCAAGGCCTTTCTCATTCCATGTGAACTACAAAATTACCTCAGCTAACTTTTTACTATTAAGACAATGTCTTATTGTTACTATGGACACGCATGCACACAAACAAACAATAAACTGCTCCAAGCTACTGCAAAACTATTGAACAGAAACCAGCACATGTGGTTAAACGAGAAAGAGACTATATGAAGTTGTTAACACACAGCCTTGCCTTAGGGCAGAGAGGTCCCTTTGTAAACTGTGTGTATGCTCATCTGCTCTCTCCTTAAAAATGCTTGCCTGAATACTAGAATCAGAGAAGGATCAAATTATAGCATCCTACAGTAGCACACTGCCGAGGAGACTGGGCCAGGCTGTTGTCTCTGTCACATACACACAAACACAGCAGGCTCTCGAGATAACAGATAAAAACCTATCAAGATGGTAACCTCTTCCCCTCTTTTATCCATCCACCCCTCTCTGTTCACCTCCCTGTGGGATGATCTTCTTATTGTCCCAATAAATTGGAGCCACTTGTATTGGGGATTTAGACAGAACATTTAAGGCAACACAATATGATGAAAAGAAACCAAAGTGGAAAAAAGGTTTGTGGGAATACTTTTCATAAAACCTTTTTAATGTGTGAGCATGTCAATTCAATGTGTGTATGTTTGTTATTATGTGTGAACTTGTTTGTTTTCAACAGGATACAACTTGATGGCTTTACAAGGAAAGCTTTGGAAGATCAGAACGTTTTGTTTTTGAGAGTCCCTGAACTGCAAGTCTCTTGAACAAACTGCTGCATTAACAAAATATAGTATTTTTGTCTGATTTTAACTTCCTTCCCTTCAACTACTCCTCTAAACACTTACTGGGGGCAGTCGAGTATAACCACAATCCTCTGATGCTGCACACTAAGCTACTGCACTGAAGTAGTAATTCCTAAAGTTCACCCAGGCCAGCAGCATACCACCTCCCTGCCCACATCTGCCAGTACAGTCTGATTCAGCTGACACAGGCGTATGTGCTCTTGCTGGGATAACAAGCATCATTCACTGTCTATGGTCAAGTAAACAGCTATGCTAGCTTAGCTCGCTGAGGTCCACCGATTTCCAACTCCAAATCTAACGACTCTAGCAGAAAGCCAAGCTGGAGGGAGGGAAAACAAGCTGGCTAACAACACAGACTCTATGTTTGCTGAGGGCATACAAAGTAGGCTACAGCACAAGCATGAAGAAGCACATAAACAACCCAGCGTCTCATGGCTAATAGATAAAACTTCACAACCATTAGAGAAAAGGCATTACCACAAACAAAGGATAGACTGTAAATAGGCTTCTTTAAAATTCATGGCAGCGCTGATGCATTGTTTTCTTTGTAATTTAATGTATATAGATCAATTAATCATTTAGTCATGTAAGATCATAATATGTCAAAAACAATGACCATCACAACTTCCAATAGTCGAAGCTGACCTCTTCAAATGTCAAAACACTTTCATTATTTTTCTGTTGGCTAATCAATTAATCAGCTAATTATTTTGGCTCTAATCTATCTGAGGTTTGGTTACAAATAAAAACAACTATGTGTTGTGTTGACTGTGTTGACTTCTACAATTTGCACAACATATCTGCCAGTAATACCAGTAATGTGTTAATATTGTCCTGGCTACATATAAATTAACAACACATAGACTGGCATCAGCTGCATCTGGGGTCTAATGTATTTTCTTCTTAATCTATGACATCAGTGACTGGGAGGGGGTGGCTGAACTGCTATATTGATGAAATGCAATCAGTGAAAGGCTGAGGATGGGGTGTCATGTTACATGAAATAACCCTAAGGGACACACAGTTTCAAAACCAAAATATATAATCTTTAGCATTAATAATGACGATTCTCTGTTCAACACCCAGTTATAACATTAAATCGTGTGTCTATTAAAATTTCATCATGTGACTTGATTCCCCTTTATCTATATTTATTCATATATATTACCAATGGTGAAATACATTTGTAAATAATATCATAATGCTGCAAATCACAAAGGGAGTCAACTAATGGAAATGTGTGTTCACCTAACCTGCTACATGTCTGTCAAGTTAATATTAGCAAATTAGCCAGCCATAATTTGCAAGTCCTGACGCTGGCTTGTGGATTTGGGTATGTGACTGTTACTGTTGTCCCTAGTGCTGTAAAAAAACATTCTTAGCCCGTATCTTGTGCAGCAGCCTCTGTAACAGAACTTTCATCATTCCAAATACGAAAGTTGACCACAAGTTGTTGCTACACAAGACGCTTTGCCTCAGATCATCTATCTTTCTCTACATCGCCTTGTGTGTGGTAACAATGCTGTAAGAAAAGCACAGGCCTGCTATCCTCCAGAGATGAGACAGTAGCCAACCTCTAGTCTCCTAGCAGTGCCTCCCTCAGTGCAGGCCTACTCCCATTGTTCTCTGTGAACAATGAAGCTAGTGTTGACTCCACTGTCCAGGGACAGACCTGGGCTGATTACGAACACAACCATGTCTGTTTTCACCCGATGCAATACACACTCTAGGCCATGAGATTCACAATAACAATACTAGTCCATGAAATGTGTTTTAAGTATAGGCTGTATATAATGATACAGTTTTTATATACAGACTATGTTTGAATTAACATTAAGATGATGTGTAGCTGGAAGTTGTTTGACACAGAGTACACATATTAACATAACATACACATATTTTTAATGATTGTGAAAGATGACTGCTACAAAGAAACATGTCTTTGTTTATGAATGTGCAACTTTCAACAAAAACGTAAGCCAACTAGTTTGGAGTTGGTCTGTCACCTTTGACTTTGGAAGTCAAGCCAAACTGTTCAATTTCACTGTAAACTATACCTATTCAGAAACACTTCTTATGGTTTGGGAAAATAGACGTTTAAAAAAGGAAAATAAAATAAAATTAGCCCTAATACAAACGGCAGCAAAGTACTGACCAAGGTGAACTCAGAGGACGACATCAGCTCACATTTCCCTCCAGCCAAAATAGTTTTGCATATTTTGCACCCACATAGGTGTTGCCTTACTGACCTCTCGTGAAGCGCTTATGTTGTAAACACACCGGGCCGTGACCAGAATACTAAAAAGTAGAGTTTTCTTTCAACTAACCCCAAGCTGGTACAAAATTGAGCAAATTCACACCAGCAGAGGGTGTTTTGATGCAGAGGCGTACCGTTAGCTAACGGGTACATTAAGCCTATAGGTGACTGGCTAATACATTTAGTCAGGCCTTATTGTTTATACTCAGACCAGTGTGAAATGACTACCTTCCACTCGGAGAAACATTAAGCGTTTAGAGTCATAATAATAGTTGACTTTGGTTAAATTCGTGCGGTTGAAAACAACAACATGAGACAGCTCTCCGCCATCCAGGGCAGAGGGCACCAGGCTGACTGTCCCATCCATAACGTAATCTCTGCTGCTGGCTAACGCTGTCACTGATAATGTTAGCTAGCTGTCGAGTCGGCCGATGGCGGTTTACTGTGGTCATCATCACGTCCAGAAAGTGAAACAACTCCAAAGCATCACGAATGCTGAGGCGAAAATGGTTTGTGATGATTTCTTGTTTTCTCCTTTTGACCTCCACAAGAGTAATCTGACTAAGCTCTATGGTTATTGACACACTACAGCGGATAGCTCCTGTTTTCAACACCGGTTTACTCACCAGCGCTACGGGAAAACCCTCGGTAAACCACACGCCCGCCAGCTACAACATAGCATACTGGAAACATGGCACTAAATTATCCGTAGGCTTTTAAAAGAGACATTTACCTGAGCTGATGGTCTCCCGTCAATCGTCACTGACTGTCAAATAACATACAACGGAAATCATCTTTCATGAAGCCCCTCCTGTTTTACTTCTACAAGAACTCTGGCCAATCAGCAACCGAGACGCTGTAACGATGGGCCAATCAAAGCACAAATACGGATCGAGGCTCTGATATCCCACCCACTTTAATGTAAATATATATTCGGCGACCAATGAGGATTGAAGGATGCAGCCAGACGATTTATTATTGGATAACAGTAATTATTGACATTTTACGTTAACCGGTAAATGCAGACGAATAGTTGAGCACTTCTACATATGATGCTGCATTTCTGTTGAGATGAGTAAATATTCAACCTACAATATGTTAGTATGTAATTCAAGCTTTATCATTAACTCCGTGAGTAAGGTGATAATGTCAACTCTTTCATTTAACCCATCTCTGCTCAATGATATCTCAAAACTGCCGCTGATTGAATCAGTCTCACTACGACCGATTGAGTGCCCGCAGAATCACATTATCCTCAGGTAACACTTGTCTTCCGTTCTACAGTAGTTACAGATATCACCTGAGAAACAGTAGAATAACAATGATGTATGTCAAAATGTTAAAGAAAACAGTAGTTTCAACTACCGAGGGCACCCTTCAAATTAAAACTACAGCAACACCGCCCCCTCGTGGGCACTACCTACAATATCACTCATTTTATTATTCAGATACATACATTTTGTTCAAGTATTTATCAAATAAAGAAGTCATCAAATATTTCTCTTTAAAATACATATTTTTTATTGTGAGGTGACAGTCCAGTAATAGGATTACAGTTCGGCAATGGGCTTGTGGGGCCAGAAGGGATGTTTGACCTTGTCCAACTTTGTCTCGGGGAAGGTGTCGTTGAGGTCCTCGATGGTCATCTGATCGAAGGGGATCATGTTCTTAAATTTATCCAACTAAAAAACACACAAAACAGAACAGAATTAGGGAAAGAAAGAACAGTCCATTTTTAAATGCAAATTCCCTTGTGGTGTTCATGAGGTATTTAGCAACCAATGCAATTACAGTCTCACCTCTTGCTCATACTGAGTAATGCGAGCCTTTGATCCTTCAATGTAGGCTGCTGCATTTTTGTTCTGTTAAGAGAAAAGTGAAATAATTATATCTGGAAAATCAAAACAACAGCATTCCGGCAGTGGGATCTTTCTTCTGTGTATTTACAATATCTGTTTTAGCATTGAATTTTGTGATCTTTTGACAATTTGTGCACATTTGCAGTAGTTACAAATATATACATATAATATGACCAGGTTTTTTTGACATTCACAAAATTCAAGACAACAATTTTCATTAAGTTAAAGCTGAAATTAATGCAATGAATGGATTTGTTTGTTGTAGTCACTTACAGCCTCAGCCTCCTGTGCATTGATGGAGTTTGTCTGTGTGTCAACAGGCTCAGGGATCTGCAGGGCTTTGAACTGTGTGTAGGAGGAACATGAGTTACCAGTTAAAAGCAGACCAACAAATGTTGAAACTATCTCATGAAATGTCTATTAAATAAGATTATTGTTGCAGAGGGCATCCTATGTCTTGCCGATTGATACAAAGGAAATCAAGCTGCATACAATTATTCCCTAGTATTGACACCATCAAAGTTGTTCAAAATGACCTGATAAGATTTGTCTGTTAGATTCGTTAGATTCTTGCCTCGACAATGGACTCCAAAAGATTCTTTCCACACTGAATTTACAATTTATTTGGATTTGGAAACATTCTAACACTATTTGGAAAAGTTTCACAGTAACTGGATGCTGCTATAAAATCAAAATACCAACAGTTTAAGTAAAAGTTATTATTCAGTGTCAGAAGTGGGCTTCTAAACCCATGCCTCGCCGGGTGCATACATAATGCTCCCACAATGTTTGAGCTCACCTTCTTCTCAAACTCATCAACCATCCCGGCTTTGGCCACTGCGCTCCTGTAGTAACTCCAGTCAATGGCTGCAGGAGTTTCGGGCAGGGAGGTTAGTCTGATATTAGGAGAGAAGATGAAGTTTGAGTAGTAAGAAAACTATGAACACCACGAAAGAGTCAAAGGAATACCAAAAGTTAACAAGACTGAGCCAATGTGTCCAAAAAAATAAAAAAATAAGTGTGTGCAAGCTTAATACTCTAGAAAGATGATCAACTTTCAAAGAGACCACTTAATAGCCCATTCAGTTTACTGATAGTGAGAACCTGATAAGATACAGTGAAGAAAGAAGCAAAGAATAAACCAACAGGCACTCACATGCATGCCCCACTGTGGCGAGCGCACCTAATCAATCTGTCAAACTATTTCCTAAAAATGTTCAAGCAAACTATCCATAATTAACCACTGACAATTGCCCTGATGAGAAGAAAAAAGACCATCCACACACAATGAACTGTACCCTGCAAATAAAGAAATCCGAGTGGGCAGATGGCCTTATATTTATCTTTCAACTTCTAGCAAAGCCTCTCAGCCAGATGAGCGACACTTGTGCTCCATAGCTCTGATAGGTCCCATCCTCATTGCATGGAAGATAATTTCACATGAGACCTCTTACGTTAATGTTGTCTTACTTATGATCAGTAAACTACTGATATTTAATTGCACTACTGAAAGCGGAAGTGAAATTCCCATGCTAAAAGACATTAGTTGATTTATCTTGACCATTTCTTTCTAAAACCTGTAGATGGTGTATAACTAACTTGGCAGAGATGGCATCACTGCGAGTCTTCAGTGCATTGAACATGGCCCTCTGGTTCGGTGGAATCCGCTCGGCAAAAGCCACCCAGTCAATGGCCTTCAGGGCAACACGACGACCTGCCATCCTGACTGTCTGAGAGGCTGAGGAAAATTCTGTTCAGTCCAGACAAACCCAAAATGAAGAACATCACAATCATCCAGCTTACATTTGGCTGAAAATTATTTTTTTCTAAGGATAAATATGTTGTCAGGTTATACACACACTCTTTCCATGGTTTATGGTCTAAATAATGTTCAGTTTTGATTGAAACTGTGGAAGAACGTTTGCCAAAAGAAAGAAATAAACTCAAGGTCCACTTCCTAGCTGTTTGAGTTCACTTGTCAAACTAATGTTTCAAAGGTCAAGACTGAACTTTCACACTTAACGTTGTAGTGATCAATAGATCTTAGTTCATCTTTACAGTGATTTTGGATGATGTAGATGTTGATGAATTGTATTGTAGTTTTTTCTATTATTTTGTCCACAACATTTCTATCAATGAGGGTTTTCTAAATATTATAAACACCTCTCAGTATAATGCACTGCAATTTGACAGCATCAAACCCTTAGATTGAATCAACAGCTAAGTTTTATCACAAAGTGAACATTATAACCTTGATGAAGGAGGATTTATTGCACAGATTATTTAAATTGTATTAGTTTTGACTAGGTACACCTAATAAACCACAAACAGACTGTATGTGAACAAGGTTATATGTAACCACTGTTACTTCAGCATTTCAATGACAATATATGAGTGTGTGATGTCATAATGGAGATCCACCTCTGCATTTACATGTTATTTATACTATGTAGTGATATACATGGAAATACATTTACATGTTGCTAACACAATGATAACATATACATGACCTGACGAAAATGTTATTTAAAAAAAAATATGACGCGTAGAGTTAGCCTAGACAGACAACAGAAGATGTGTTCACCTCCTATTTAATGCACTTTGAGATGTAATTTTATAATGCATTAACTCAGTTCACCGTTAATGATGGATTCCAGGATTACTGTCGCATGATGAGACACTATTAAATCTTTGTTAAACCAAACATGAATGCAGCGCAGTCACTTTAAAATAAGTGCCAATAAACACTATTCGACCGCAGGAGCTATATGGTAAAGCTGTTTTAATATAGAGAGTAAAAACATACATTTGGCTAAAAGTGATCAATGACAGCAAGTCCTTGACAATTTGTTCAATTCAGGACCGCTGCAAAGCCAGCTAATGGTAGCTAGCAATGTTAGCTGGTTAGCCAAGGTCAGAGAAATCTGTCTGTAACGCCAGGGTTTTATAACACGGAGAGAACGTAGAGTTCACATTTTCATCGCATGCACAATAATAAATGTGTAGGCTGAGCAAATAGTCATTCAAAGTTTATTTATTAATATATGTTCTGTCTATCAATAGCCCGCTCCGCTAATGTACTCACCTCGCTGTTCCAAGAGCTTTCTGTGACAGGACGGAAGAGCGGAAGTAATTCTTCTTCTTCAGGCCCTGGAGCGGCAGCGAGGCCGAGAGCGCCCTCTGCAGGACGGACAGAGCGCCTGCAGTGATCGGTAGCGTCAGAGAGGTCTGACGCTACAACAGGCTACATCTGCAGCTTTCTTAACCTTATATCTGCACTGTGTGCTTCACTGTAGGCTTATATCTGACACAGTGCTTTAATGGGAAATAGTGATGCAAATATACCCTTTAAACTAACTACAAGTCACGTTTGTGGAATTTTATTTAGAAAGGAGTCACATGTTTGCTCTAAGTGGGGGCAGAATAAGGACAGCGAAATAAAAATGGGAAAATAATAACAATAATTTTAAATAATAATGTTGTCCAATACTGGCTTATATAATTACTATAAAAAACTAACAGCCTAACATACGGAGTGAAAGTGTAGTCCACAGCAGTGCGTGTCAAGTGTAGGCAAATAATCGGACACAATCAAATACATTACTTTTAAAATCGTCAGGGCCATCAAAAATGATTTCCCCCGGTTTTATTGAGCTGTTAATGTGTACTCATCTCACGATATTTCTGAAACTTTATGTGTGGCATGGTAGGTTCCATAAGTGCCCATATTTGCGTTATATCTGACTTAGTTGAAATAAGCTGATTGTTTTGAAGTGTTTTCATTTTTTAACTAGAGAGTAGGTATGTATGTGTAGGCTCAAGCGTCCGTTTCTTTGCGTTGGTTTTCAACACAACTGTCAAATGGCAAGATAGCCTACTGTGTGTTGGATTAAAATATTCTCAAGCTGCTGTGTGGAAATGTAAAAGAAACGTGTACTGTCCCAAGGAAGACCTGAAGAATGTGTCACACAATTGTGGTTTACCGAAATTATCTCATTACTTTTCGACTAAAAGCTACCGAATTATTTACTGCCTAAGTAATTTATACTCCATACGCTATTTTGAATTAAACCCAGGCAAAGACAATGACAGAGCATCGGAAAGAAATTCCATGATTCTTTGGACATTTTCAAATAATATAATAATAATTAGGCCTAAGCAAATGCATGCCAGAGGTTTTTGGCAACAGTGGTTGAGTTTTGATATGCTTACCAAGGAAATATTTCTTTAAAAAAATACACAAACAACAACCAATAAATGAACAGTTATCTGTAGATTACAATAATCTATCCTAACATAGCCTATATATGCTACCTTTTTAAATATATCAATATAAGTATTATATATTTCTTGGAGAAGCACCATATAAACCTCCAGACTCCTGACTCCCAGACTCATTGATGAGACCTAAACAAGTAATTATTTATCTAGGAAAAACAGTGAAACTTTCAGACGTTGTATAATGTTTATTTACTAAAAATCAGTCTTTACAAGTAACTGAACATTTAGAAAGGGAGATGTATGTACACAGTACAGATACAAAGATATTCAATAAATATCACTTTTCCTGCTGCTCTTCAAGCAAGGCTGCAGGGCTTTATGAACACTACACATTTTATTTACATTTACAGCAAAATCCCCCAAGGAAATCTATTATCACTCCCACAAAGGCCACGTTGAGAGTAAAAGAGAATCTAATACATGTGTTTTCTAAAATATAATTTTGCTCCATGTTTACAAAATATAGAAAATGTGAAAGGAACCGCTGTAAGGAAATACAAACATTCAAATAGCAAGTCTGGAAAACTGCAGTTTTACCCGATGATGACAGAAAACAGTCAATGCTGAATGAGCAGAAAAACTTCAAGTGATACACTGGTCTTAAGGCACTGACACCGTTTAAGTACTTTTCTGTTGCTTTTAAGGATTTTTTCCTCCGCTTCAGTAGATTATTGCCTCCATGTCTGGACACTCTTTAAACGTCCAGTTTCACAAACTACTGCGGAGCACGGTGGATGGACTGCAAAGAGATATTTAAGGCATGTCGTTTAAAAACCTGACATTTACATTTGGAGTGTTGCCTAAAAAGGCCTGCGAATCCACAAGCCACAGCACTGGACACGATCTCAAAATGAGGACAGTAAGTGAAAGCACTCAGTCCGATTACGCACACACAGTTGTTTATCAAAAATGTGTCTGAAATTTTATTTGTCATAAATTCTGGAGGTTAGAAATTTTTTTTATCTAAACTCCAAATTGGAAATATATAAAATGGTTCTTCAGGATGTAAATGAAGACGCACCATCCTCATTCGCGTATTGCAACCAGAAGACATCTTTGTTTTCTCTTAAAATCACACAGACACACACACACACACACACACACACGCACACACGCGCACACACACTTAAACACAGGACTACTAAGACAAATAGTACATCCCATAAGTAACGGGTCCACTGAACAGTCCTGGGACCGGCAGACTGGGCCTCGGAAAGGCATTTGACGGGCCCCATGTTGGAGAGCCCATGTGCGCTCCGATAGGGAACGGCAGCGCGAAGGCGGGCAGGACAGGCTTGGAGGCCAGTTTAAACTTTTCCAGCTCGGCCTCCTGCAGTCTCTTGGCTTTGGCCCTCCTGTTTTGGAACCAGATTTTGACCTGAGTCTCCGTCAGGTTGAGAGAGTTGGAGAACTCGGCTCTCTCGGCGATGGAGAGGTACTGCTTCTGGCGAAACTTGCGCTCCAGTGCCAGCAGCTGAGAGGTAGTGAAGGGTGTGCGAGGTTTCCTGTTGTTTTTGTGTTTCCTTAAAGTACACTGAGTTGGACTGGAGCTGCCTGTTAGAGAAAAAAATGCAAAGAAAAATAGTTGAGGTCAGATTAAAATGAAGCTTGATCATCACAGCAGGAGAACATATGAACATTTAAGAATAAAGACAAACATGATGCCGCGGCAGTAAATAGGCTTTATTATATTTTGTAGTTGACTAAAAAGGTGCTCTGTCAACCTGTGCCAGAAACTGATCACTTTCAGTCGTGCCATCATGAGATTCAGGGTTTAAAAACATTAGCATCATCAGATTTAATATCTGCTTGCATATAGGATATTACCCGCATAAGTAGGTACTGTATATTTAATGTATCAAGAATTATACAGGCTAAGAATACCAAAAAAAATCTGGCAAAGAAACAATGTAGCAACCACATATGCGCTTCACATGCAAAGTGGCACAGCAGTCTCTCATACTGTATCTGCAGTTTGCTAGACATTAAGGCCAAAAGACAAGACAGAAAACTGACGCACAGTCTCTGGAGCGATAGGACAACATTAACATTACTGTGACACATCAGGGACATTACAGTTTTGTGTAACCATAGCCAAATGCCATATAGGTAGCCTATTCTTGCAGCCCCTATTATTGACAGTAAAAATGATGAATAAATGCAGTGTGTCCTTGTTTGGGAGCTCACAAAACTCCGGTAACAGCGGAGGGACGGACTTACGAGGAGGAGTAGAAAAGGAGGACGTCTGGAACCAAGTGCTCTGATCTTTCTCACAAAACTGCGGACTGTCCTCGCTGGAACTACTGGAAACACCCTGCGAGCTCTCCGCGGGGATCTTACTCTCCGCGTAAAAAGTCCTTGGAGAGAACTGCGCGCCCTGCCCCGCCACGGGCTTGGGCAGCACCAGAGCTAAATCTGAGGGGGAATAAGAAGTCCGACAGGTGGTCTTCTTGGAAATCAACGACTCAACGCTAAACGGGAGGCTGCTCCGCTGCAGTTTGTATCCTTTCTCAGTGGTCATGTCTTTCGGCTGAAGTTCCTCTCCCTCCGTGTCCGTCTCCTCTTTTTGATGAAGCTGTTTGGCGTCTTGGGACGGCGACCCCTGCACAGGATTCATCACGATACAAGGGGATGGGGCCATGCACCTCCGTGTGGCCCGTTCAGAGGAATGGAGTTGCCGAGGTGTACAGTGTCCAATATGCGTCTGTGCTCTGTGTCAGCGGTGCCCAGTAGCTTGTACGCGCTGGACGGGGTCGTCTATAAAAGGACAGGGGCTGTCCCCCCTCCCCGTTCCCACCAATCAGCTCGTGAAGTTGGCCTCGTGACGTCTGCGAGTGCGGTTTTGATTGGCCAGCTGCCTTTGAAGGGAACATCAAGAGGCCTTTGAAAGGAAGGAGAAGTTAATCATACAGACCCCATGCGGCGCGCGGCTATTGATGGCTCTCACAAAGTAGCTTAGACCAATTTTAGCGCAATTAACCAGTGGGGAGGACTCTCTTGACCATTTACATCCAATAACCGGCCACTCTATCGGTACTATCCGCGGAATTATTCTCCTACTGTAAAGCTGAGAAGGAACTAAGGAGTCATGTCAATATCAAAGTGATACCTTTATCAAAGCAGACAGAAAAGATACAGAGAAAACGTTCAGATATTTCAAACCCATATTAAAATCTAACATTAGAATTTACATTAGGAAATAAACAGGGTGCATCCAATAAAGGAGTAAAATAATGAAAATGAAAATGACCGCAAATAAGGAAACGCGCAGCCAGGGTAGAAATTGGTTAGGTAGCCCGTGAGTGTTGGTCACACAGCATTACTGCAATTTAAGGCCTGTCATGAGCTCTTCTCGCTTCACAATGGCCTCAGTTGAGAAGCAACAGGCGTTTTCTTTCTCCAGGTCATACTATTTAATAAGCCAGACAAGTTGTGTTTTGCAAGGCGCCAGGCTCGGCAGGATCAAAAAGGAAGATACCTCGGGGAGAAAAGGCAACGGTTAACTCCACTTAACCAATTGTCCTCCAAATATTTCATAGTCCACTGCATGGAGCTGCTAGGAAGCAGGCGCTGACAGTTAACTGTTTCATGTCTAGTCTGAGGTCGGTGACAGCCCGTTTGATTTAATTTTGACATATCTTATTAAAAAATGATCAATAATTTAATATTTCTAACATCATCACAGTCCAATGGCAGCAGGAGAAAAATAAGTCCGGAAATAAATCAGTCGAGATAAATGTGAATTTATTTGAATTAATAGTGGGATGTCTTTTTCTTTATTATTATTGTGCTCAGCAATTAGCATTAACAGTATATCATCTGCCGTAATTACTACAGCTCACTTACAATGATAATTACTTATCAAAACCACAGTGTAAAATTCTACTACGGAGAAAAGTCCTGCATTCAAAATTTCACTATAGTAAAAGGTAGAGGAGTAGGCCTATGCCCCTCAGCAACATGTACTCAAAGTATCAAAGGTAAAAGTGCTCTTTATGTATAATGGCCACGTTCAGTGTTACATTGTCATATTTATTACATTAATGCATAATTATTATGACCCCTAGCCCTCAAACTAATGTTACCTACTCTATATACTGTTAAGTCTATAATCATATTTTAGCAGCTGATCATGTTTTGTAAATAATCTGTTTTGCACTTAATCTGCAAAGCACCCAGTAACTAAGACCCATGTAGTGGAGTAATAAGTACAATACTTACCTGTCAGGTGCAGTGAAGTTGAAGTATAATGTTACATAAAAATGAAATATACAAGAAAAGAAAAATACCCTAAAAATTGTACTGTACTGAGAAAATGAAATTTGCACTTTTCCACCACTGTCTGTAGTCCACTTCTTTTTTTCATATTAATTATTTCCCTCCGAGAGGCTTATCACTTTGCAATGGGAGACATAAACTCCCCCAAACTTCATGATTCATAATCTAAATTCTTCCCTTTCAACGTGTTCGGGCAGCAAGGTTCGGCCTCCTGGACTTCATCAGTCCAACCCAACACAAGACCCCACTGAGAGCTCCACAATCATCAACTCTATCCAGTGTTAGCGGTTAATCCAAGAAGCTAAGATCACCACTTTTCCACCTTCTTTTATGCCACCGAATGACTTTATTAGCCCCCTTCGTGCTTATTTGCTTTATTGGATGAAACAATGAATAATTAACCTAATCAGACTTGCCTTGCTCAGTAACCACAAGTAATTGGTTATGTTTTACAGCCCCATCACTCAGCACATGACAGTCACGCAACTGAGATAGTTAAACGACAAAAAAAAAAACACAATTGTTTGACTGATGAAATACTTATTTGAGATCACTGATGGTTGGCCTCTTGACAGCCCTCAGGTGCAAAGAATAATTTACCCCTCATCAAGTGAGAGGCACGACTTTTGCCTGATAATTTAGTTTGAGTAAATCCTGATGTTGGGTCTGTTCCTTCATTTCCTATCTGACAAAGCCAGCCCTCTGTCTCCTCACACAGCGGGGGCCTCTCGTCACCCAGCTGGTTTGGGTTTAAATCCCAGCGATGGTGTACCCCTTCCCTCTATCTCATCTCCATAGTGTCGTGCAAAAAAGGGATGAGAGTCGGCCCTGTGGAGTGCACAGACTCATACGGACATTCATCCGATACAGGTACACCCAGAGATAGATCTACACAAGAAGTACAGTTACCTCTCCTCCCCTGGTGTTTGGTCCAGTGTATTTAGCTTCGGGCCCCCTCTCCCCTACCCCAAAAGACATTTCTGTAACAGCATGCAGGCGAGTGAACTGTGTCAGAAGGTGTTAGTGAGTTTGAAAGCAGATCTGTCCTTTCAAGGTCGGTGCAAGCGCCATGGGAAGCACTTTCCCGTCAGCTGGCACCAGAAATGAAAACTTTTTCACATGTATGTGCGGGGGCCAATACTCTCATGCATCGATGAAACCACTTAGGCAGTTCATAAAAGTGCACGGGCCAAGTGGCGACACGACAAGCTACGTGAGAAAACAATTTAATATGCTTTTAAGTTGATTCTCATGTCACACATTTGTTTCCCTGGCCTGAGGATGATCCAGTCAATCTCTAAATGATGTAGAGACTGAGCAGCAGTTGATGAACTCAGACTTTGTGGGAGTCCAGGTGAGCTGGTGTCCATCCTCCATCAACAATGTGTGAATTCTCCACTGTAGTGAGGCTCACTGACAAACAAACAGATCATTTAGGGGAGTGAGCGAGCTGTGGAACCCAATCCCTGTGAGACGTGTCGACAGCGGCACAAAGACCTGTAGCTACAGGCCTCAACGAGAAGGACACTTTGCTGACACGACATGAGTGCAGGGAAGATAGGGACAAGTGAGTGTACTATTCTCAGCAACATCCCGGCATCACTTTGCCCTCACTTTTTTTTTTTCTTTTTTTTTTTGTCTGAAATCGGCAGGAGGCTCAAACGTTGTGGAAAAGTTGCTCAAGACGTTAACACACATCTGCAGGAAAATTTAGGAGCAGTTAACGATCTATCTTACCGTGTATTATTTTCATTTGGTCTCTGTCAACACCTTGACTCGCTCGCTTCCCTCACATAAGGTGACCAGCATGGCACTCGTCATTTAACAGCAGTTTAAATAGCAGCTCTTTGGGTTGCTCAGTGCTGTGGAAAAATATCTTTGACCTTTCATTTGACTTAACAAGTTGATCCAATCCACATCAGACTGGCTTCAAGCCTGCACTTAAACGCTGGTTTGACATTTTCTGCCAAAGCCACTTCCTCTTGTGGCATCAGAGTGCTCTGTGTTTGAATGTCGGGTAATGAGGGAAATATACTTGCCATGCTGAAGCGAATGAAGCAAATTGCCTTCATCATGGCTTTTCTTTTGGACTGTAAAAAAGCAATCAAAGGATGGAGTGTCCTGCGGCGTCATAGCTGCTGTTTTTGACTCAAACCTAAACACAACAGGGTTTATTTCATTTGTCTGTGGTGGTGGAATTTGCATTTTGAACTCAAGCTGAAATTAATGTTTGCTACTGATGGCTACATTTTTAAATAACATCTTTAACGCTGTTCCCCTTTCTGGTGTCTTCAAAAGCAGATGTTTTCGTTGAGAGGGTTCCTCCTGAGCTCTGCTGCCAATAGAAATTGTTCAGAAGAAAAACCACAAGAGGTGACAATGCAGTTGGCAATTTCGTCTGGCTTGCCGTCGGCCATAGAAATCCACATTCTTGAGGAAAGTCTAGAGACAATGCGAGTGGGCGAGTTAGGTTGAGGACTGGAGATGAGGAACTCTGTGTGGCTACTCTGTGGTCTCATTCACAAACCGAAGAATGTCGCCACAATCTCATACGCTCTTAGCAGCCAAAACTGTGATGCAGTGTATTTGAAAAAAAAAAAAGAAAAAAAAAGAAAAAGAAAAACCAAGGCAGCAGCATCAATTTTCTCTTTTACTGCTGGCTTCAAATCGCAGTGAGGCCAAAACCAGTAACTATTGTATAAATTACAGCAATTTGGTACACATTATATGAAATCTTGTCTTTTTCACGTCATAAAAATATATTAGCTGGTATTTAAACTATGTGAGGAAAAATAGAAAATTTGTTGCAAGGAATTTTCTTATTTTGTTTCATTTCATCATAAGATTTAATGAGACTGTAACTGAGATGATCTTCATGGTTGAATGCGGGGAAATTCACAGTACTCACATTGTCAAATTCCTTAAAATTAATAATTTGCAGATGTAACCCTTTGTTGCAGAAAAGAAATGAAAACAAGAATCATTATCACAATAATGACAAGCACAAGTTCCACTTAATATATTTTTTACAAGGAGAAGTCTTGATATCACATGCCTAAATGTGGCACAGTAAGTATTGTTTTCTTTAGAGAATTGGTTCCAGTTCTGAAGCTCTGAATACCAACTCTTTCATAAAATTTAAATCATGTTATTTGTTGCAGGACTTGCATTTTTTAAATTTACTCAGACCATAACTTCCTCTAATTATTAGTTTCAGCCCTCATTTCTTCATCGAACTCATCATATAAATCTGTTGTAAGTGGATGAAAGCACCACAGATCCAAATTGGCAATGCTTGTCTGATAGTAATAATGTTATTGCATGCATCAAAGGTCAGAA